TACAGTAATATGAGGCCCAGATCTAATAAAAAGGTTGTAGTGCCACTGATTTTTTTTTGTTATAAACACTGTGCAGCGGATGCCCATGATTTCTGAACAGAATCGAAGCTTTCCTAGTAACGTAACTTCTTGGAGTGGATGATCATAAATTTTTTTAAGGTTTCAGGGGAAAAGTCAATGGCTCCATGGTAAATTCGCAATGTCTACCTCAATTGGGACCTTAATGCATCTACATTAAGGTCACTACAATAATAAAAAAGATTGCTGGAGCTCACAAACGGAGAGTTTATTGCCAGTTCTTCTTTTCCGTTCTACGCCCTTAATTTGAGAACTGGCAGTAAATGTAAAATTAGAAGCATTAATATGTTATTTCTTTACTGACGAGTCATAAGTGTACATTATGTTACCTATATGATGAAATGATTTTTTACTTTTACTTTAAACAAAGGCTTCACCAACACGTGAATGTCGAGACTATTCAACTTCTTGACACCACGGCCCTAGTGAGAAGAAAAGGAGAAAATCATTTTAATTAGTGAATTAGTGTTAGTGCATGTTAGTCTTAAGTGCTAAACAGTGGTAAGTGGATAAGAATAGCACATAAGAACAGAGTGTCTTCCCCTTAATAGAGATTGTAAGTAGTGTTCGTTATTGGACAATTTCTTATGTTCAATACCCTTTTTAGGTTAGTTTTAAATTACTTATTAGTATTAAGTTATGCTCTTTGTGCCGAGACAATTTATAAAAAAAATAAAAAATATTTGCGTTTCTTAATGCAGTTTTTGCCGCGCACCACCACTATGTGGAACCAGCTGCCTACTGAAGTATGTCCAAACCAATTCACTTAGGGTCCTTCAAGAAAAGAACTTACCAATTCTTAAAAGACTGGAAACGCAATTGCGAGCGTTCTGGCAATGTGAGTGAGTGAATGAGTGTCCATGCGGTATCACTTAGCATCAGATGAGCCTTTACGTTTGCCCCTTTTACATTAAAAAAAAATATAATTAAAACCATTCACAGCAACACAGATTAGCAAAATATTTCTCTAAGAGGTTTATATATAAAAGTTAGTAGGTACTCGTCTAATGTCTTGGACAGCACCTATTTAAAGATCCTTTCAGTTTGACAGGGCTCAACTCATTGTTCCTACAACAATACAAAACCTCTACTATTTAATAGAGTAAGTATGCGGATAGACTATTTTTAAATATGTGTTTATTTTGAATTTATTTTATAGAATTATAGAATTACCGCGAGAGTTTGTAACAAATGTTTCGAATCTGTTGGTTAAGTTTTTATTGCTATATCAGGTATCTGGTGCGAAAGGTCGCAGTTCAATCTCCGAACATTATTTAATAATATATTAATAATGGAAAATTAATAGCGGAAATACTATAGAAATGACTTTTTATATCTTATACGAAATAATAATATATAATAACTTATTTCATTGATTCAACTGCATGAACCTAAAATTCAAACTTACTTGAATAGAAACAAAATTAGGTAAATTAATTATTTTTTAAACCGCGAAATAATATAGAAATCTATCTGATTTATTATTACTATTTGATTTCGAAATATAGTTTTTTTTATTAGATTCAAATTTTGCTTAAATCACACATTCACATTTTAATTAAATACGACGTTTGTAAATGTTGTTTTTTGTTCTGTTTCTAAATTAGTACTTTAAATTAATACATTTTAAGGCAATTTTAAAAAAGGTATATAGTTATTATGATTTGATATACAAATATACTCAACGCCCTTTTCCAAGTTAAAAATGATTTCAATGCCTGTTAATTTTCTCTCCCCTTCACTGTGCACATCTGAGTATTACTCAAGTAAGTTATAAAGATAAGTCAAGAAGCGGATTCTGAGGAAACTGAGGGGCGGCAAGAGGGGCGTATCTTACAGTTATTTTATATGGAAGTGGCTTTATATAAAAATTAGTTAGGCTTAGAATTACACTATGCATATACATCAAAGACCTTTAATTATTATTCCTTGAAATATTCATCCACATTTACAATACACAACAATTTTTTCCCATCTCTCTTGCTCACTTGAGCATTTTTCTCCCAATCTTCTTTAAGCTCGTCAGCCCACTGTTCCAGAGGGCGACCTTCCTGGTAGTCCTTCCCACTTTGTTACCCTCTTTTTCCAACTGCCATTGTTCATGCGAGAGGTGATATTTTGTATTCTGCCTTGACGTCCGATGACTTTTTTAACGATTTGATGGGTATGTGTATTGCGTATAAAATATGCAGCTGAAAGTTGTTATATGTGTGCGCTGTGTTCGTTTTTGGAGCCTCGAAGTCATATAATGTTTAAAGGATTTATAAAAGCCAAGTCCATAGTAGTGTATCCATTTCGCGTCACCTCAGTTCATCTATATTTTTCTCGGTGTCAGTAAATATAATAAAAAGCTTCCCCTCATACGAAGGCATTTTGTGTTATATTATTTATATACCTACTGTATATGAATTACAGGGATCACGAAGAAAATGTAATAAATCACACTTTTCTTTTCTTTTATTATCTATATGAGCGGTGGCTGACAATATTAGAAGTAGTTTAATACTTGAAATGGTTAAAAATAAAGTATATAATTGACATATTACTTGTTAAAATGTCACATAAAATCAGCTCATTCCGGATACAAATTCGCAGATATATTAATATTAACGAGTAACTTAACATACCTATATAGTAATGTATATCTTTTTTTTTTAATGTAATAGGAGGCAAACGGGCAGGAGGCTCACCTAATGCTAAGTGATACCACCGCCCATGGACACTCACAATGCCAGAGGGCTCGCAAGTGCGTTGCCGGCCTTTCAAGAATTGGTACGCTCTTTTCTTGAAGGACCCTAAGTCGAATTGGTTCGGAAATACTTCAGTGGGCAGCTGGTTCCACATAGTGGTGGTGCGCGGCAAAAATTGCCTTAGAAAACGCGCAGTTGTGGAACGACGGACGTCGAGGTGATACGGATGGTAATTTGTATTTTGCCTTGACGTCCGATGATGAAACTCAGCTGCAGGTATTAGACCGAACAACTAAATAAGTTCTTTCACTAAGAATCAACGAATAGTTATTCTTGGACCTATACGGATCAGTTCACTATACAAATATGTTATTTAAAATATCGCATTCTCACTTGCATTAACAAAATCACACAAAGCACTTAGACAAAAACTTCGATCACTTTCGATCGAGTTTTATATTATCCCAAACAATTACATGGAGTATAAAGAGATTATGTAACAATTTATCCAGCTAACAATAGTTTATCCAATTTTTACACTCATTATTTACGCTGCTTACTCATTACAATAACTAACAAAAAATAATAAAAGGGCCGATGCGATAAAAAAAATCGCAAACTCAAAACAGACGCGGCGGGTGGCGCTCTATATTATTATAAGCGAAAATGGTATTAAATATGTGACGATAAGGCTTATTTTCATGTAACGTAAATTACAAAGGCCTATGTAGCTACCGAATTCAAAGTGATTCGCTTTGGTGTTTGCGTAATGCTCTTATTAATGTTTTGATATAAATATTGTATCTATTAAGATATAAAAGTGCCACTTTATATGTGCGGGACTGGATAGTACCTATATTATTTTAGGATTAGAGTTAAGTTAAACTTATAATTGACTTAAGTTTGCACTTGCATGGACAGAGCTGAGACTAATCAAGAAATTCGTGATACAATACCAGTGGTTACTTACTTTTTGCTACTTAGAAGCACACTTAATTCATCACACAATAAAATATGAATCACTGGCTTCTCAACTAGGTATTGTTAGTATAGCGAGGTCTTCTCTTAATTTTCTTTTCTCATTTTTCTCTTTTCTTTCGAGTACGTCACATTGTTTTGAAACTAAAATTATTACATATATACAATTTTAAACAATACTTTATATATACAGTTTTAATATAAGTTAATAAATTGTTATAGATGCCATGTTGCTTATGGCACACACAGGTTTTTCCAGTTTAAACGCAAACTTAAACGTGGCATATAACAATCATCTCGTGTATTGCATATTTTATAATTATTATACATGTATATATTATAGCATACATGTACATATCGTACATGTATATATAAATATTTTATTTTATTCGTCATCTAGGAAGCAGCCAAAATAAAAATTAAAAATCATGAATAAACAAAAGCAGGACTGTCTGCCCCCATGGTTCATGGGGTTAGGGGGCTTAATATAATAAAATAAAAATAATATTAAAGTAAAGTCACAAATTCAAAGCTTTTAGCCGTATTAACATTAACAATAAAATTCTTTCTTCTATAAATATATATAAATTCAGTTTTACAGTCATTAAACAGTAAGAAAAAAATATGTTTGTTAATATCAGAAACGGTTTATATTGAGGTTCACACGTGTAGAGAGTAAAAAATACAAGTAATACATAATTATAGAAATAAATGTTTACACTTTTGTGTAGCGCTATCTATTGTCAAAAAGAAAAATGAATTTGTTCAAAAGAGTTTTTATAACTTCTATTAGCGTCCTCTAGCGACAAGTAGCAATACCACGAAAACTAGAAGTGGTCTATATTAGGTTATGTGTGAAGCAGATCGCTGTCCAAACTTTTGAAGCTATAACTATTACAAATTAAATTATTATGTCTTTATATTTTCAACTCCACAAATATAAAACTGTTACATATTTGCTGTGTCTTAGCGTAAGTTACAGCCTTAAGCGCCATCTAGCGAGTTTTTAAAAATGCACAATAGATGGCTATCGCGTTTTTACTAAATCAAAAAATATTATAACACGCTAGTTTCTATTTTATGCGCTAGATGACGTTATAACTAAGACTAAATAAACAATGAACAAATACCGAATTTTAATATTATTTATTCATTTTCATAAATGTATACTTATGATAATGGAGAGATATATAAAAATAAAGATAATACATAATTTTGTAACTCTTTGTATTAATAAATCACTTATAAATATATTTACAATTCATCTTTTTTCTTCTTTTGTGTTATGGATATTTTCCAATTATCTGGTTCCCAATCTTTTTCGACAATCCTCTTTTGTATTATTCGTTTATAGACTAGTGCTGACAGTCTAGCTGTCCTTGTTTTTTCTTCAGACTCAAAATCTACTTCATACAGGCCAAAACGTTCACTGAAAAATTCAAATTAAATAATTACACTTGGAATCAATACAATACCTACTCAGTCAACTGAATGCAATATACATTCCCAAAAATTTACTCTGACACAGCGCACGCATATATAACAACTATCACACACGCACACACATTTACACACGCACACAGTTACGCATACTTAATGTCTTAGGGTGCGTCTACACTCTACATCTGGCGAATGCCCCGCGAATGTGCAGCTTGCGAGCCGTTTGCGAGCTGCGCGCGTGCAGTCACGGCAATGGTTTGTTGCGCCTCTTTAGCGCAACTCATGCAAGGCTCGTAAAAGGCGCGCGCGCGGCGCCCGATCTGCGCGCACTCGATTCTCGCGCTTACAGTTCCGTGGAAGGAAGACGCGAGCAGCTAACGCGCGCCCGCGCGCTAATCGCGTACGGCGCTTAGGTTGCGCGCGAAACTTCTCGCGAGCTGCACATTAGCGGCATATTCGCCAGATGTGGACGCACCCTTATTAAACTTATGTTTGATTAGTTGTTACGCTAAAACTTCTTTTTTCAAAAACCTGTTTTAAACATGTACCACGGAATAATTGTTATCTAGTTACAGAACGGGGCTCCCTAATGTGGGGACTAGCGAAAGATCAATTTTGTCACAACCTATTTGTGTTTAAAAGCGAAACAAGCCTTTGGGTACTTATTATAGTGATTATTATACTTTTATTTCAAATAGAATCAAATATTTGAATCAAACTGTATCGTTGTTAAATATCACAAAAGTTCCAAACCACTTCTAATTGATTAGTACATGTATTTTGTATAATATGCTATTAATGAAGTCTCACTCATAGAGTGTCCCATACATCAACGTCAAGCCGAAATAGAATCGGGAACTCCAAAGTAAGTTGGATATAATAATAAAGTAAACCTACATAGGTAGGTACATGGCTTCACTTAAAATGCTACTTTATTTGAAAATCCATTGCAGCATGAATTTTTTCTATCGCTTACAATAGGATAACATCAAAGTGAAAATAAATTGATATAGGTTGAGATTTGTAATCATACCAATAGGACAATTCATTGTCTTTTTTGAATGGCAATAATTTTTATAATAATTTGTTTTATTAATTTTCTGGCGCCTTTCACTAGACCTGCATATTCTTAAATATTAAAAGTTTGCTGTGCACTGTATGTATAACTAATTAATGTACTAACCTCGTACCAGCAACCCACTCAACATTATCCATCAGGCTCCAAACAGTATAACCCATTATTTGAGCTCCATCTTCAATAGCAAATAAAACTGCGACTAAATATTCCCTTAAATAATCTACCCTCGTTCGGTCGTTGAGACCCGGCTCGGAGGACCAGCCTTGCTCGGTTATAAATGTTTGAGGGTAGTCGTATTTTTGGTTTATGTACATATATAGGCGGTAGATTCCGAATGGGGAACTCTGAAAGTATCCAAAAAATAATTAATAATACGATTTGTGAACGACTTTTTGTCAACTACCAAATGATACGAAAAGTAATTAATAATTTTTAAACTACCCTAATATTGCAAATAAAATCTTACTTTCAGCCATGAACTCTTTGATTGTGGCCAATGAACACTTTGCGATATTTCAACGCCTATGTCGTCTTCAAATGACGGTACCTCAAACTTTTCGGTTTTTTGAGGTTTGACTAACACTGACGTATAGTGATTTACACCTAAGAAATCAGCTGAACCTGGAAAATTATTTTATATATTTTTAAAATTCTTCATCCTGATTATTTATTAGTAGGTAATAATAATAAAGTGTAATAGCCTGGGTGGCTATTACACTTTCTCTTTTAACTATACATCCTTTTGAAGTTATACTTCTTTTGAATGATGAGAGTAAACTTTTACGATGCGCGTGCACACTGTCACAAAAAACCGACACCCTGAAGTGATCATAGTCAACATTTTAAAATAAAAAAGTCCATTTCTTTAATTATGTAGAAATATTTTTTTAAAAAACGTAGAATAAGTCAAAAGATAAAAAATTTAAAAACATTTTTATCTTGTTACGCCAAAGAAGTATAACTTCTAACGCCTGTACATAAATAAGTACACACACACACTTTCTATCTTAATAAAGGAATAATAATCAATTGATACCGGGATATGAACTCCCATCGTAATTTCAAAACTAATGGTTTCGAATTAAATGTAAATTGAATGAAGAAGGTTAAGAGAACATTGTAAAACTACCTTTCAAAAGTTTAATTTCCTCCGGGCTTAATGTGGGTAGACGCGACATTTCATATCCCTGCTCTTTGCTCTTTTTCAATACTCTGCTTTTCACCGTTTTCGGGAAATCGCCGTATTTCGACCAAATTGGGTTCATGTACATACCAATCTAGGATGTATTAAAAAGAAGTATTGAAAAGTTAAATTATTTTTTTTTTTTTTATTAATACCTTTCTTCTAGAAATACAAGTCTGAATATTTTTTGTCATGCACTTTCTCTCGTTTCATCTAGGAAGCAGTATGATTATTAAACGTATATATTTAAATAAACACCTAGCATTGATCTATAAACAAAAATTTATCCAACTTACAGTAAAATCTCTATAAATTTCAGCCGCCTCTTCATTTTCTGTTTTATTGTCGAATCCGAAACCGTAGTTTAGAGATAAGGATATACCGACGGAACCTGAAAGTTATGAATAGGGTGTTTTTCCTATAAATAAAATACTTTTTTTTTTTAATTTTTTCAAAAATTTAAAGACACTACAGTTGGTGAATTTTTTCTGTAATGCTATTTGCAACATGCTTTTGATGAATTGACAAAATCTATATTTTTCCTATAATTAAAATTTATTTTTAGATTATCCAAATATCTCCAAGTTTAAATATTACTACCTTTAAACGAACATTATTAATAGAAAACGATAACATTATTTGTTTTTTTTTTTTGTTGGCAATGGTCTTTTAAAAAATATAATTCCGAGATTTATTGACTTACCCTTATATTTCTTCTTATATTCCCTTTCGTACAGTCTGTAGGCCGTCGCATGGGCAAGTAAAACATGTTTCAAGCACATGTAATCTCCTATTCCTTTAGAATTTAGTGCGGGAGCCATTATACCTCCATAGCCTAAAAAGTAAAAAGGTAAAATGAATAACAATCTTCATCAGACCTGAGGATTGGTAAAAATTGATCGCGTGGGCGTGATGGAAGCATTACTGAGCATTAAATGGCAATTATACCTATAATATATAATATAATATATAGAACATACTACTATTAAGTAGTTTATATGTCAGAGAGTGACGGGAAAGTTTCGTTTCAGCTGTGACATATGTTGGTGATTGTTCGATCATTGAGCCAGTGTGAGTGTTTATTACCTGTTTATGTTGTCGACACAATCAAAATGTACTGTTGAAATTTTTGATTAACATACTTAGTGATATCGATTAGAACATATAAATATTAAACATATGTGTAAGGTATATAATGCATATTGCAAAATCGAAGATGTACCTGTAATGTAGAATACCGATGAAATAGTTTTTTTTATTTGGACACAAAACATATATAAAGTAAATAAACATACATATGAAAATATTAGATACATAGATGTACCATTCATGCAAGATTGGGAACATATCCCAAACTTGCTTAAATAAATAAAAAGTTGAAATACGAAGCAGCAATCAAAATAAAGACAAAAATACACACCTTCAAAACAAAACGATGGTTGGTTTATAGTTATCCAGTACTTGACTCTATCTCCGTATCTTTCGAACAGGACTTTAGCGTAGTCCTCAAACCACTGAACCACCAGAGGACTGGCCCAACCACCCAACTGTTGTAAAGTTTGGGGCAAATCAAAGTGGTACAACGTGACCATCGGTTCTATATTGTACTTAAGTAATTCGTTTATTAAATTATCGTAGTATTCGAGACCTTTTTCGTTCTTAATGTTTGTAAAACCTGAAACAAACGGTATGTATGTCATATAAACTCGCGATAGATATAGGTATATATATATAGTTATATGTATATTAACTGTATATTTTAATGTATAATGTATATGTATCATAACTAAATACGAGCCAACCAAATACCAAAGTTATAGGCATGTTTATAGATATTATTTATCGGGTTGTGGTAGGGTTTTTAGACCTCCCTCCCCACCGCAGATGTCCATCCTGCGGGGTCCGAGGCCTTGACGTGGCCGGGGAGGGCTTAGTAACTGGGGTGCAAGCCAGCACCTTGGTGAAGCGAATCGGAAAGAGGGGGCCATTCTATCTAGCCCCCGGCGCTTCATGCCGTGGTGGCTGGCCTTTAAGGCTGGCGAGGCTCGTCAATGACGGCGAGCCCCTAACCTCAAGTTTCTGGCGCCCGGCGATGGGTGAGTGGCCGGGGAGTTCGGTCGAGGGCTCCAGGGTAGCTGTCTTACCTGGATAAAAATTAAAGCGAAAATGAAGACAAATACTTGTAAAAATACCCCAGGCGGGTCAAATCCGCCACCTGCTCGCAAGAGCCGGTGCAAAAGTCCCACCGTACTCTGGGGGACAATCTTCATGATTCCGGCGCTTTTGCCGAGGCGAGCGAGGAGAAAATCATTAGAAATAAACTGCGATAGTAGAATGATATCCACGGACCAACCAATAAACCCGGATCTGAGAGAATTACAAGAAGTGACCGTGGTGCCTGAGCGCACTCTATGTATTACGCCGGTGCCGAGCGTTTCCAGGGACATTTTGGCGACCATCAGTTGACGCGCCTGTCTGATGCTGGAAGGTTATCGGATTCCTCCCGGCACTATGATAGCGCCAGATCACTGGATTGTACAGACCCTACATATCCTAGATTCTGGAGTTCTCCAAACGAACCAGGAGTGGCGAAGACGATGGCGACAGTACAATCACGAGTCGTCTGTTCGGACCCCACTAAAAGTTGCTACAACAAGAAGAGGAAGAGGCCGCCCACCAAAAACAGAGGGTACATGGGCTTGGCGCCTGCTAGGTCTGCTTTTTAAAGGCCAAGAAAACGGAAAAGGAAGCCCAGGCTGAGGAGGAGATCCTCGCTTCATTGACTGAGCCGAGTAAACCCGCACCAACACCACGGCAATGAATGCAAGGGAAATTTTGACGGCAGATCTACGCAGAGGCGCATCGAAGCTAATCTGCAAATGGTAGAGAAAGTCGCGACTAAGTCAAAAAATCTTAAGGGTACATTTGTCCACGCCCTCAAATCTGTCGCTAAATCTATTAAAGAGGACACAGAGGTACTCGCTCAAATGTCTGTTTCGGATGAGACGCGAGCTCTTCGAAGTGAAAACGAGCGGCTTCGAAACTTTCTGGAGGCGCTCCAAAAAGAGATGGGAGAGTTGCGAGAGCTAATAAAGCAACGCCCTACAGATCCGGTACCAACACCGGACTTAGAGGACCTTGAGGCAAGGCTCATGAGCCGCCTTGTGGAAGGATCAATGCTAGATAGAAACATAGCCAAACTCAACCGAGCCTCGCATACGACCACCTCTCTCCGCTGACAAGTATAAGCCGGAGGCTGTGGCAACAACTCGGGGTCCTCCAAGGTTAGAAAGACGACAGCAGCGCCCACTTCGAATACAGTGCAACTCAACCGAGGACGGCGTGAAAAAGAAGAAAAAAGAAGAAACTAAGGAAGGCAAGAGAATGTGCCTACAGGGACAACTGTCCTATTGCCCCTATGTCACCACCGTGCCCACTGCCAGAGCTCCCTCTACTAATGAAGCGTGGAATAAGGTGGTAAAGAAAGGATTGCGCCGGAAGAAGAATGAAGGTGCTCAACAACTTCCAGCACACCTAAGAGACAGGCAATGGCAACACTGCACAACTAAGCCCACAGTCCGAGCGTTGTTTTAACCTCCGCCGGATGCCGAAGAGAAAGGCCTTACAACTAGCAGTCCTAAAAGAGGCGAAGACAAAACTAAATCTGGCTGAGCTTGGTAAAACGGTCCGGTTCAGACGAGCTGTCACGGGGCCACCATATTCAGGTCCCGGACAGGTGGTGAGGAGAAGGCGGATATTCTGGCGTCTAGATAAGGAGGTCTATGGTGACGGAAGAGTCCGGGTTTCCAGACCTGTTAAATCAACTGAGTTGATGATCTCGGGGCTGGATGAAACAGTCACCCCGGAAGAGGTCAAACAACCATTGCTCTAAGGTCACTGCTCGCCGGACATGTGAAGGTCGGTAGGTCCGTCAGAACAGGACTGGCCTTTTGCGGCATGGGTCAGGTGCCCAGTGACGGCGGCCAAAAACTACCGAAGGAAGGTTATTAGTGGGATGGGCTTCCGCCCGAGTTGTTCTCTTGAGGGCCCGAGAACTGAGATGTTTCCGCTGCTTCAGGGCGGTCATGTACAGCACGGTGTACTCGGATATGGACCACAGTCACCTTTGTTTTCGGTGTGGTCAATCTGACCACCGAGCAGGAGTTGCTCTGAAAAGCCGCAATGCGTTCTGTGTGCTGCGGCTGGCCAAAAGCAAACCATCTACTGGGGGTAACGCGTGTTCGGCCCCCAGCAAAAAAGAGATAACACCTGGTTCATAGATGGCCCTCCAAATCCTACAGGCGAACATCAACCACTGCGCCAAAGCTCAGGATCTGTTACTCCAGAGCATGGCGCAGTGGTTAATCATATCACAATAGTATCGGAGCCGTATATGATCCCCCCAGAGGGAAAACTGGTTTGGCGACCGCACGGTAGTTGCGATTGCCGTTCGTTGCCTGAAGGCTTGCCTCAAGCCTCGCTAAAAGGAAACGGCTGTGTCGCTGTTAAACTAGAAAAAGTCGTTGTAATTGGAGCTTATTTTTCGCCGAACCGGAGTATTACAGAGTTCGAGGCCTTTCTGGCAATGGGCTCCCTGGTGGAATAGGCTCGACCATTAAATGTTATTGTTGCAGGGGATCTCAACGCGAAGTCGTCTATGTGGAACTCTCCGGTAACCGAAGCCCGTGGCTGCGGTGGTTGATTGGATCGCCACTCACAACTTGGTGATATTGAATCGAGGATCGGAACGCACATGCGTGCGAATGCAGGGCAGTTCTATCGTCGATGTACTTTGCATCCCGGAACTAGCAAATCGCGTCTCAACTGGCGTGTACTTACAGAGGTTGAAACGCTTTCGGACCATAGGTACATTCGGTGCCTGGTGAGTCCCCAAACACTACCACCAGCAACTGGTAGATCAAATCAGCCTCCACCGGAAATAGGGCCAAAAATGGTCCCGTAAAAAACTGGACTTTGACTCCCTGTCTTTGGCATCTTTGACAGAGGCGTGGTGCCCTAACCAAATACTATCTCACAGATAGAGAGGTGCAATGGTTCGGAGAGGCTTTGCGACGTATTAGCGACGCTGCAATGCCAAGGATCCGCCCTATTCCGCCCCGCCGACAAATGTACTGGTGGTCGCCTGAACTCACCCAGCTACGGACGGCTTGTGTAGTTGCCCGACGTCACTAACCGATTACGTCGAAGACGCCTTGCTCCACACGATCCGGAAGAAGAAAGAAGGTGCTACGGCAATCCAACAGCAAAATTAAGCGCATTGCAATTGGAGAGGCCAAAGAGAAAGCTTGGGAAGATCTTTTACAAACTTTAGAGCTAGACCCATGGGGGCGGCCATATAGGCTAGTATGACCAAGCTGCCCTGGCTTCCGCCACTCACTACACTCTAGAACCGGTGTTCCTGGATACGGTAGTCTCCGCACTATTCCGGCTAACAGTTCGCATCCAACATCTCGCGACGACCTCCACTATGATGAGGAAGTCCCAGAAGTACGCCTGAGGAACTCTCTGTTGCAATACTTAAGCTTCAGAGCAAAAGACAGCCCCGGACCAGATGGTGTTCACGGGAAGGTCTGGGTCCATGTCCTCAATAACGGGCTGGAAGAGAGGTTTCGGGAGTTGCTAACCCATATTTTAAAGAACGGCCACTTTCCGAGTAGCTGGAAGACGGGAAAACTTGTATTATTAAAGAAAGAGGGTAAATCACCTGAGTCCCCGTCGGCCTATAGGCCAATTGTTTTATTAAATGAAGCAGGCAAGTTATTCGAGCGAGTGCTAGCATCCCGCATAGTAAAACACCTTACAACGGACGGGCCGGATTTGGCCGATACCCAATTCGGTTTCCGGCGCGCCCGGTCTACATCGACGCCGTTGCAAGGCTAAGAGACGTTTGCGAGGAGACACTCGCGCAAGGAGGGGTGGTGCTGGCGGTGTCACTAGACTACACGCTTTTAACACATTCCCTGGAAACCATTATAGACGGCAATCTTCCATACGTGCCAGTATACCTCCGGCGCATGATAAGATCATACCTTTCGGCCCGTACCGTCATCTACCCGGGTCGGGGAGGTTGGAAGGAACACAGGGTTGAGTGTGGTGTTCCACAAGGGTCTGTTCTAGGCCCCTCCTATGGAATATCGGATTAACGTCCTTCTGGCTCATCTGCAAGGCGTCAGCCTAATTGTTATGCCGAGACACACTTATCACTGCAAAAGGTCGTACACAGAAAGCTTGCATCCTCCAACGGCGGGGTGGCACAGGTTGTGGCCAAATAGGCGCATTGGCCTCCAAGTCGCCCTCAAAATCTGGGGCGGTCTGTTTCCACGGTCCAAGACGAGCTCCTCCCTGACGGTACACAATTGGTCGTATGTGGTGTGCCCATAAAGTAAGCCCCACTTTAAAGTATCTCGGGCTTGTCCTCGATTCTCATGGACTTTTAAGGATCACTTCTCGGCACTTGCCCCAAGCTCGCTACCACGGCTATGGCACTCTGCCGGTTAATGCCAAATCTTGGTGGGCCGAGTGCGGGTGTCGCCGGTATTTGCAGGTGTGGTCCGGGCGAAGGTCCTCTACGGATGCCCCATTTGGGCCGATGTCTTCGCTCAAAACAGGGCGATTCTAAGACAGTCGCAACGGGCGATGGCCAAAGGGTGGCAAGGGCGTACCGCACCGTCTCTTGCGAGGAGCTGTGTATTGCAGGAACTGCCCCTGGCACCTCGAAGCGGCTGCCTAGCCAAGATCTATTGGCATAGGGCAGATAGTAGAATAGGGGTTTCGACCCCTTCCTGAGCACATAAACAGCTGGAGACAGGAAGCCCAAGTGACCGTCCTTCAGAAATGGATGGATGAGTTACAAGATACAGGGCAGGAGTCTGGACAATTACATCTATACGTCAGTGCTCAACTTGTGGGTAAATAGAAGATGGGGGCACTCTCGTACCGACTCGTTCAGGTCCTCACAGGCCATGGATGTTTCGGTGGATACCTTCACAGGGTTGCCAGGAGGGAGGCATCCCCATTGTCACGAGTGTGGTTTCGCAGACGACACAGCGCAACACACTTTAGAGGTTTGTCCGGCGTGGAGCTCTGACCGCCTATAACCGCCACCTTCGGATTGGACCTGTCGCTTCCAGTCATAGTTAAAGCTATGATGGAGGCTGACAGTGACGGCCATGGAACACTTTCAAAGCGTTCGTGAAGCCGTCATTACACTTAAAGAGAATGCGGAGAGGGTTCGGGAGTGTAACCAGAGCCGACCTAACAAAAAAGGCCTGGAAGGAGACGTCGCGATTACGCACGTACTCCATTGGGACCTTAGGACAGGATTGGGCAACGCAAATATGTGCTCAACAGCAGACGCTCATGACGGAGGCACGGATTAAGGGAAACTGTTACGCGCCTACCGTCCAAGCGAACAGATGGGGCTGTTGGGTTTTAGTGGGTAGGTGTCCATTGCACCATACGGACTGACTCCCAACTCCTCGCCACTTTTAAATCGTTGCCCCGGCGCGGGGTCAGTAAATTGATTTCCCAACAATAAAAAAAAAAAAAAAAAATTAAATATTAAAATCAGCCAGGATGATTTTTGGGCTATCATACCAAACCGTATAAAATGTTTTTCTATTACCCTATAAGTGGACACCTTATTTGAGGGCGCAAAGCTAAAAAAAACTTTTCAATAACCTTCAAAAAATAAACAATAAACCCAAAATAATAATTAAAGAAAACTTACCCTTTACAAAGTTACAAAAAATCCGAAATTTAATAAAGGAAACAATTTATAAATCAAGAACGATTCTATCCAATATGGCAATAACCGTGTTTATCTTTTTTAACTACACTCAACTACCCTCACTACAATAAAAGGTAAACGAGAAACATATTTCTAATAGATATGCATTTACCTATAATAAACTCAAATCAAATCAAATCAAAATATCTTTATTCAAGTAGGTAACCAAGTACACTTTTGAATCGTCAAGTTAAATTAATGTAAATTTACATTTACTACCAGTTCGAAGTCAAGGGCGTAGAGCGGGTAAGAAGAACTGGCAAGAAACTTTCCGCACTCTTTAATCCCAAGTATTGTCATACAAATTGTTGAACTGGAAATTCAATCCCAAGGATAAATATTCTCCCTTTAAAATTTTTATCACCTTCTCCTTGAAACCATTAGATAGACGGCAGTGATCAATACATTCTGCGAAGGTGATTAAATAGGTTGATACATAGATTTATATCGTTAGATAGGCCCTTACCGCAGTGAGACCGCGCCGTGTTGTTCCACTGTCGAAGTGAGTGAGCTCACTAACCTGGGATTAGTGCACCCCTAAACACAGTGTTAGCCGGACGTGTTGTAAAGGACGTTTGCGAGCAGTTTAGTGTCACAAAATGCTATCGTGTGCCTTTCTAAAGTGCAACAACAATTCTAGAGACACAAATAAAGCCAGAGGTGTAACATTTCACTCGTAAGTATTGCGATTTGATTTAAAAACTTTTATTTTTCCTTCCACACTGTCTAAAATAACAAATTTAAATGGCGAGTGCACGAAAGAGAAAGTAGTGCTTGCAACTAATGTAGGAGAAAAAGAGATGACACTATTTTCTCAGTACATAGGTAATAACAACAGATAAGTACAATGGCAGAAACACGATTTTTTAACTACTCGTTAGTGTGCGTGTGTCGGCTTTTTGTTCCGAACGCACACATTCAAAAACAATGCCACAGTTTTTGTGTCGGGGCCTATCTAACGATATGAATCTATGGTTTGATAGCCATTGCGTAACAATTTATGAAGTGAAACTTCTTAAGTCCTGTTCATATTTATACAAATCTAAAACTTTACATTTCCGAGACTTAGAGAGAGGGAAAAAGGAAAATATAAAATAATATTAGATGTGACGCTAATATTATTTTATTTCGTAAAGTTTAAATTTAAATTTTTAAAATTTAAATTTCGTGAAGAGAATTTATGAAATATTAGAGTATTTTATATTTTATGCAAAATAATTTAATGAAATCTCAAATGAACTGTAAATACTATCAGTAACCCACAGTCAATTCTATAGTATAAGTATTTAGTATTAATTCACACATTCGTACTCAGTTACGGAGCTTCAGTGAAAACGTTCCGTCCTTGTCAATAACGTGATTATGGCTCTGTTCAATACTAAGCTAGCAATATAGCTGTTCTTTAGAAAAAGCACATCAAGGAAAAAAAGAAAATGGGCTGAGCATGGCATTAAGAAGAGGAGGAGAATTCATATATTATACAAAGAATTAGTTAAAGAAAATATTTTAAAATGACAGAGAGCTGCTTCAATATTCTTCTGCAATAAATAAAATGTAACAAATAATAAGGGTCAGTGATCCGTGATAAAATATCGTTGTCGCCGATCACGTCCGTGATGGCCGGTGCCGGCACTGACACTGACGGTACTGAGACGACACTGACACTGACAAGTGTGAATACATCCATAGAGAATGTTTGAAAGAATAATTATCACTGATGCGGTACTGTGCCGGAACTGTGGGTTCACTGATATGTGTGAATCGACCTTTAAGGATCAACCTGGAGACTTTCGCTGAACAATTTTTCTCAATAGAGATAAAGCTTGAAAAAGAATCAGAATTAGAACAGACCGTTCAAGTCGTATGAATTATCTATAACTCACCTGTAGGAAGCACCCGTGGCCATGAAATCGAAAACCTGTAGTGATCTACGCCAAGTTCACGCAACATTTCGACATCTCGTTTGTATTGGTGATAGGAATCACTGGCGACATCACCGTTCCTACCATCAGCTATCACGTCAGGTCGGGTGTGAAGGTATCTGTCCCACATGCTTTCACCTTTACCTATAAAATTAACGGCATATTAACGCAAATTTGTACGTCATATGTTGCTATGTAATACTAATATATGGTTTTCGTTTGTTTATTTGTTTGTTAATATTTTATTTCTGCGGCGACACTAGGCATGAAGGCGAAAACACCTGGATGTTTTTATTTTAATTTATTATAAATAAAAAAGTTATTACAAAATTTATGTTAATAGTCCAGCATTCATAGTTTTCTTGGCAAGTCGCTGACACATGCCATCCTCAACGACGACTTATTTAATTTCATATATTTTAAAAAGCAACCTAATTATATTTAACAACCTACAAAAAATAAAAAAGTGGCGCAACAACCTTTTTAGGTCTGGGCCTCAGATTTCTGTATCTGTTTCATGATAATTTGTCAATCTAATAAGCAAATAGGTGATCAGTCTCCTGCGCTTGTCACACGCCGTCGACTTATCAAGTCAAGTCATGCCGGTTTCCTCAAATGTTTTCGTTCACCGTTTGAGTGAATGTTAAATCCGCACAGACATAACTACTGGCACAGCCGGGGATCGAACCTACGACCTCAGGAATGAGCGTCACACACTGAGGCCAACATTGTTCTGCAGCTTCATCCTCGTGTATTGCAGAAATCCCATACTTAATAAATAACGCTGTTAAAACACAACGCAAAAGCCGAAACCGTAGTACATGAAAAATATATGAACATACGCATTATCCAAACGAAATTATTTGGGCAAGTATAATATTATAAGATTAAAAAGTAGTTAAAAAGACAGTCAAACATAGATACCTATGTATATATGTATTATGGCCAGAAGTACAATTAATATTATAATTTAGACTTTTGAGAACGAGGACAACTTGTTCTCATGCTATGTATGTATATATAATTAATGTGTTAAGGGGCTCCTAGACGGGCGTTATTTTCGCAATACTGCAATATTTCTCAGCCATATTATTGCTGTCTCGCTTTACAGCCTAAGTGCGTCCGTTTTTCATGCTACGTGACAACGTGTATAGCTTTTCTCATGTATCTTATCTTTGTATCATTGGTCTCAATTTATTTGGTCATTGTTTAAAATCAGTGTAAAGTTTTTAAGTAATTGTTCATCGAGTCGTTTTGTGTATCACGCCTATTGAATTAAGGTCGAATCCACATATTTCTTTGTTTTTTCTTTTCACTTTACTTATAAAACGCCATATTTATGGATGTAGAGCGTGTAAAGACAAAAGAAAGAGCCATATACTGTTGCAGAAATATTGACGAGATACACATTTTTCAGCCATGTGCTGCATTTAAATCTTTTTGAAGTGAAACTTCTTTATCGAGGTTGGAATGAAACTTCTTTATCGACGTATGGGAGAAATTTTGTAGCAAATCTTCACGTTTTTCAATGATAGTAATAATTATATTACAATTAATGAAATTCTATAATAATCTTCGTAGTAATAAGGTAAAATGAAATATTTGTATTCATGTCTATGATAATAAAAGCCTTTTGTTAAACTTTATCTAATTTAACGAATTTCTGTAAAGTTGCATATAGTAGATCATTTTTCGAAAAATAAGATCATAAAGAAGTTTCACTTCTTACGTGTGTACACCTAGTACACGCACAATTTTTATTTTTTTATTTTCGGGATATAGTCGGCAATGATGTTGCTACATATTTTATTTAAAGTGTAGCCCGTGTAGGCCTTGAAGTATTGAAAACGTAAAGCAATGTGGATTGCAGTCTCGTCCGTACTTTGGTAAGAACACCTATTATTATTTTATCAATTAATAATTTTTAAAGACAAATGCGGGTGTAATTTTTGCTTACCATCGACATTCCAGGCACCTTCTACTTGGTATGCGGATGTTGCAACGCCAAACATAAAATCTTTGTTAAACCTTCGAAGCCTGTTGTCGGACCACGCATTTGTATGTAAAACGCTGAAATACAGTATAATATCAGTATGCAGCGAATAAAATATTTGTTTTTCGCAATAACTTCAGATCGAATATCCATGGGAAAGTATGAATATAGGTAGCATAAATATTAAATAATTGGTTATCGCTTGTTTAAATCACATAGTTTAAAAATATAATCAATCAAAATTAATCTATAGAAGTTATATGTATCTATATCAGTTACATTTAGAAGTCTTTAATACGCAACATTTGGGAATTACGAATTTTGAATTATATAGAAATGGATTCCTGAATTAAATTAGGGGCGAGATATATATGAAATTGAAATAGTTAAATATCTCCATTTTTTTTATATATACTTATAGTTTACGTGTAAATTACATGATAGTGTCAAGTATAATATACTTCTTGGTTAGTATTCGTACAATTAAAATTAAAATCGTGTTATCAATAATGAAATTTTGTATTTAGATTTTTTTTCCGTCTAAATTCAAACTTCGAACAGTAGGGCGAAACTCATGGGTTTAGAATTAGATTCATAAGTAATTCGATATTACTAAGTAAAAAATATGAAAATGTTTTATCGTTTTTCCAAGGTTTTCCTTATTACTAATAGTTGTAAAATAAATATATAACTTACCAAACCGTTAAAATAAATATATATTTTAATCCCATTTTAAATTTCGTTCATAACCACAAACGCGAATTACTGCTGCGATGATAACACAACTATTAATTATACTCAATTATAGTACCACCACGTCATTGACAATACAAATATTATCAATAGATAATTGTTCAGATAATGACTTTCGTTTACTTACATGCACACATATATAACATTCAGAAACGATGTAATTTATACACAGTAATAAATCATGTTCTATTTTAAATGAAAGTTGACAATAAATAATAGATTATAGAAATAATTCACTGAGGGCTAGGCTATAGTTATTTGACCGTAAAAAATGTGTTAATTATTTTTAATAAATTAGTTTCATTATCTCCCGGGTCTCATTTAATACATGTTGACAACCGCTTTGCGACAAAAATTAACACCAATGTCTAACAATTTAACAAATAACAATAATATGTCAATAGTCATACCTCTGCCGCCTCATGAATTTGTCATTGTCATAATTCATAATATTGCCATTTCTTCTAAATTATTTATGACAGTGATGCCAACTTGGGGGTTTTCCCCCAAATTTAGGGGTAATCAAGATGTCTTGGGGGGTTAAGGAGGACGTTTATCTAGGAGGTACACAAAAAAAAATCTTAAATAACCCACGATTCTATACAATTTATATTAAGACTAGAACCCAACAAACTAAATATAAAATCCAAGTGTGGCTATAACTGAAATATCAAAAGGCTATTATATTCCAAGATTGAAATGTTATATTACTTGAATGTACTTTTCATGTATATTTGAAATTACCTCTCAAACTGAGTGTTTAGCAAAAACTTTACGGTAAACTTTAAACTGAGGTTTTTATGTTTAGGGATATTTAGGGGTATTTGAAGGTGGTTTTAGGGGGAACATTCTGTAGAAGTTGGCTGACTGATTATGAAGCTCGTAATCAAGGGGAAATACATAACTCAGATGGTCGTTTAAAAGTTAAGTATTTACAATAGCAATTATTTTGATGGGACCAAGTTACCATCAAATTTTAGAAATCGAATGAAGAATAATACCTATCGTTTGTAAAATTTGCTTCATATAAACGATAATTTATCATTCTTAATTGTGAATGTCAACGAATTGTGTATGACCGACGACCGTACAGTCATAAATCCTAGACTTGACGGAGGAAGTGTTAAGCTAATCTAATTCAATAATAATAATTCAAATCCCGCCTATGCCTCAACGGATTTCTTTCTTTTGCATGTTAACTCGTACGGTGAAGGAAAACATGGTGAGGAACCTGGCATGCTTAAAGCAAAAAATCAACAATGTGTTTTAAGCACAGAAGGCTGATCACCTACTTGCGTATTCAGAAAAATAATGACCAAGAAACAAATACATAATCTATATAACGAATCCTTTATAATTAACGTAAAATAGGTAATATAAGGTTTGGGAAAAATTTACAAGCTAGCCGCCGGATTTTTGGGGTTTTGGGGGTGGGGGGAGAGGGGGGGGGTCTACTGCTACCCCCCTGTACCATCCCCAACATGCGGAACCCCATGGTTATGGAGATATTCATGGTTAAAGTTTTGAGGTTAGAATAGCGCTATTTAGTTATTTACAATGGTCTGTGGGAGGGGGTCTAGCTCTGTGACATCTCCGGCGCTGCAGGAGTCAACTCCCTCCGCCCCAGCGTAAAAAAAAATATTAATACACAATTAACAACAGGCATTTTATTCAAGCCTGCGCAACCTCGGCGTTTTGGTCGCCGAAGGCTCCGAACCGAAGATCGGCTAGGTTAGGCTAGTATATATTCATATACTAGCCTAACCTAACCGATCTAAATAATATTTGTTTTTTTGGACAGCTCCGACCTAAATAATAATTGTTTATTCAAGCCTCGGCAACTCGGCGTCTTGGTCGCCTTCGGCGACCAAATATTCATATACTAACCTAACCTAACCGATCTAAATAATATTTGTTTTTTTGGACAGCTCCGACCTAAATAATAATTGTTTATTCAAGCCTCGGCAACTCGGCGTCTTGGTCGCCTTCGGCGACCAAATATTCATATACTAACCTAACCTAACCGATCTAAATAATATTTGTTTTTTTAGACAGCTCCGACCTAAATAATAATTGTTTATTCAAGCCTCGGCAACTCGGCGTCTTGGTCGCCTTCGGCGACCAAATATTCATATACTAACCTAACCTAACCGATCTAAATAATATTTGTTTTTTTGGACAGCTCCGACCTAAATAATAATTGTTTATCCAAGCCTCGGCAACTCGGCGTCTTGGTCGCCTTCGGCGACCAAATATTCATATACTAACCTAACCTAACCGATCTAAATAATATTTGTTTTTTTGGACAGCTCCGACCTAAATAATAATTGTTTATTCAAGCCTCGGCAACTCGGCGTCTTGGTCGCCTACGGCGACCAAATATTCATATACTAACGTAACCTAACCGATCTAAATAATATTTGTTTTTTTGGACAGCTCCGACCTAAATAATAATTGTTTATTCAAGCCTCGGCAACTCGGCGTCTTGGTCGCCTACGGCGACCAAATATTCATATACTAACCTAACCTAACCGATCTAAATAATAATTGGTTTTTGGACAGCTCCGGCGCTAAATAATAATTGTTTATCCAAGCCGCGCCACGGCGGGTTTGGGGCGCCGGCGGCGACAAATTATTATATTACCCAACCACCCCTTCCCCCTTTTTTTTTTTTTTTTTTTTCCCCCCCCCCCCCCAATAATTTTTTTTTTTTTCCCCCCCCCCCCCGCGGCGTGGTGGGCCCCCCCGCCCCCCCCCACTCCTCTCCTGGTACCCTGGGTGGTCTAAATATATTGTTGACAGCTCCCGCGGAAATGCAGCCCCTCCACCCTTGCGTACCAAAGCACAGGCAATTTAGTGGGGGCTGCTCTTCCTCCGCGCCTCCGATTTTTTATATACACTCTAGGGGTAGGACAGAAAAGACCACGTGGATAGTGGGGTGCTCTGATTCGGTTTTGGGTATGATCGACTACAAGTTATGATCTTGGACAATCTCACTAACTAGTGTATTCTAGAAATAAGAATGAAATTTGGTGATATTATGAAGATACATAAATAAAACCAGAGGTTAAGGTTCCAGAAACAAGTAGAAGTCGTTAAAAAATATCAAAACTCGGGATTACAAAACTCGCGTACGCAGGATAGCAACGGAATGGCGCATCAAACGCATAACAAGACGCTCGCTATATGACGTTTCGTGAAATGTGACGTTTCGTTCCGTTTCAAATAAATATTACTAAAAATTCGTAATTATAAATAAATACTATAAACAACATAACATTATATAACATTAAAAATATTGTATTTTGATAAAATACGAATTGATTTTACAACAATATTTCGCTACAATAAATATGTTATACAAAAAATCACGTTCCTTTATACGCACTTTAAAATGCATTTTTAAAAAAAACTAAGCGTCTCCGCTGGGTAAAGGGGGTGTCATTTAAAAGGGTAAACCAACCCCAACATAATCCAATATTAATCATCCCCAAATTCTTGCGGCTAGCTTGTAAGTCCGACCCTAAGGTTTTAAATACCCTTAAACTTACATTTGTTTGCATTTCATTTGTAAGTTAGTATTAGAAATTGGTTAAAGTTAATTTAAAAGTGTTAATTTAGAGCCTTCTTTCTTTGAACTTCCTACATTCCTTCGTGTGTTCAGTCTTTGCCCATTAGCCTGGTACAGCTAGATACTTTTCGACGATATCATCAGCCTGCCTTTGCCGTTCTGCCAACATTTCTTTTCCAAATCGTTCCAGCGAGTCGTCCATACGGTCCACCGTTGGTCTGCCATTTAAGGCCTTATCCCAGCACGAATTGCTATGCCAGTGTCTCGGTGTGGACTGCGGGGCGCAGTGGAGCTGGATCACTGAGCTCGGCCATGGCCCGTAATAAGAATTAGAATTAAAACATTAAATCAATCTAATTTTATCAAATTTGTTTCTCAAATGGATTACTTGGCTTGCGATAAAATATATCGTGTAAGTTTCAAAATCATGTTCTATATACATTTTCGTCATAAAATGAATTCAAAGTGTCAAAAATTGGCTATGTTTGGATTTTTTTCTATCAAGCGAAGTTATTTAAATCATGTATCGATCTTTCAAAATAGATATATAAACTACTCAACTCCACCATATATGTTTTTCCATTCTCCCTACTTCAAGAAATGATGACGAAAAATGGAAAGAAACAATGTACTTTTTTGGAGTTAGCGGATATCGGTTCTTAAGTTGTAACGCCTTTCTGAGACCGTCAGTCTTCTTCCTACTATTTTTTGTTTTTAATTGTTAGTAAATATCAAGATATTAACCATGCCTCACGTGCGTCCCGTGACCTCCCACAGTTACATCATTAAATTTATATATACTTACTTAGTTGATTTATTCCAAGGCCGCTGCCATTGTGGAATAAATTGGCGAGTCAAGATGTAGCTGCAATCTTGAATGATTTTGAATCCTAGTTATCTGATTATATTAAGTGCGTTTGATAAGTTGGTGGTATATAAGGTGATTTTAGCCCTTATTTAAATAGATATGAGGCTGATCGTACTAAGGTAAGGAATTCAGATTTAGTTTATTGCTTATAGTTTCATATACTTGGTTTTGCTAGATGTGTTTATATGTGATCAGGATTTTAATACTTATGTAATATATTACACAATTTGAATATTTAAATAAAACAATCTCTTCGATGTATGTATTTCTGACGTCGCATTTTAAATGTTCCAAAATAAATTTGTTTATTGCTGATTTTATCAATGGGTTAGATAAATTTCTATCTTTGTTTCGTTCGTAATTATTAAGGAGATCGGAGCCCTCGACGTCAGTGCTATGTATTGAGAGAACTACATCGATATTTCATACAAAAACGTCGGGATCGCTATCGTTATTGGAAGTTAAGACGGCTGCTCTGCGTGTCTAACACATGTCGGAAATCTTTGATTCAAATTTTCGACACTTTTTCCTAACGATATTTTCTTTAAAAGTTCAACCATAAATCGTAATTCAGTGGATTAAGACTACTAATCTACTACTAAAAACTAATCTTTTTTTTCTGTTTTTGTACTATCTGAATATTATATGAGCCTGTATAATAATAATAATACTACCACTAATTTTAGCGCTCGTAATGACGGAAAACGCGTATTTCTCAAAACAATGGTATTGAAAGTTAAAGAAACCAGACCTACAGTGTAATACTTTAAATTTAAAGAATTTTCAATTTCTTCGCTTACACTATATCCATTAGAAACTTCTACACGACGCGTATGTTAATATTCTGAATATAATTATTTTCATGTAATTTATCTGTAATGCGTGACGTATTTTTTTAAAAACAAGTTGTTTGAACTTTAAAAGTTAGTGAAATAAGTATGATGAAATGATTTTTTTTTCTAATATTAATTTCAATTATTGTAATTGTTTACACATGGATTGGATGTCACATGTAATGCAGATTTCACCTCATTAACCAATAACCATTTCGCATGGCAAACATGTCTTAATGATACGGTTATTTAATCCCATAACATAGGACTTTACGTCAATTACACAAGGTTTAATTTTTTTGCGAAAAGAAAATTAAACATTACTACTTACCTTACAACAGCTTAAAACATTTTGTACTAATTCCGCGAAATTTTCATGTAGGTATATCTGCAGATTTAGTTCTTCAGTCAGATCGAAAACACTAAAAACTGTTTTTAGCAGACAATTAGTCGTAATATATTTAATTTTGATTTCAACTTTTTCTTAAAGTGTTTTGTTTGCGAGCTGCTACGCTCACCCGAAACATGGGAGGAAGTTTCCTGATGACTTCCTTTTCGGGACTGCCACAGCCTCCTACCAGGTGGAGGGAGCATGGAATGCTGACGGTAAATATAAATATTTATGTTGTATTCGAGTTAAATATAGTTAAATCTATATTTTTAAGTACGAAATTTTGTACATACCATCAACAAACAAGTATCTAAATTGTAAATCTATGTCAGAATACTTCTGACGTTATTTTCGTGTTAAACAAATGTAATCCATGTTAAAACGAAGTTACTTAATTTCCAGGCAAGGGTGAAAATATCTGGGACCACATGACCCACACAATGCCAGAAGTGATCGCTGATCAAAGTAACGGTGACGAAGCAGCCGACTCCTACCATAACTATAAACGCGATGTCGAAATCATGAGAGAACTTGGCTTAGACGCGTATCGGTTCTCCCTTTCCTGGTCTAGAATACTTCCCAATGGCCAAGCCAATATCGTAAACCAAGCGGGCGTTGACTACTACAATAATTTTATTAACGAAATGCTTAAATATAACATTACTCCACTGGTCACTCTCTATCATTGGGATTTGCCCCAGAAACTACAGGACTTAGGTGGCTTTGTTAGCCCATTATTCCCCGAATGGTTCGAGGATTATGCTAGGGTTGTGTTTGAAAATTTCGGAGATAGAGTAAAGCATTGGATCACATTTAATGAGCCCAGGGAAATTTGTTATGAGGGTTACGGTTCAATCACAAAAGCCCCCAGGCTCAATGCAACAGACGTCGGCACCTATCTTTGCGCGAAGCAATTGGTTATAGCGAATGCTAGAGCATATCATCTATACGACAAGGAGTTTAGGCCCATTCAAAACGGCAAGTGTGGTATAACTATAAGTGTCAACTGGTTTGGGCCATTGACAGATTCTGAAGAGGATCAATCCGCTGCGGAGATAAAGAGACAAGCCGAGGTATGGTGACACATTTCATAGATAAGATTGCTTCCTATGAAATATCTTGTCAAGTTCAAGTGTCTTATCTATTGCCTTAATCTTATTTATGTGGGGTACTAGCCTGTTATGCAACTAAAGGTGACATTTTTATTTTTAAGTTATACTTCTTTCGGCGCGTTAATGAAAAATAATGAGATTAAATTTTTACGATGCGCGTGCACGGCGTCATAACAAACTGACACCCTGAAGTTAGCTATGGTCAACATTTTAGTTTTTTTTTTTTTTTTTTTTTTTTTTTTCGCGTTAGGGAAAAAGTACACGTTCGTACGTTTTTTTAAATAATACGAAAGAACAATACTTTGGAAAAAATTTTTTTTTTTTTTTTTTTTTTTTTTTTTTTTTTTTTTTTTTTTTTTTTTTTTCTAGGGGACCCAAAAAAAAAAAAACAAATGTTGCCTTACTAAAAAAGCGACCTACCCAATTGCTTAGTGCTGTTGAACAATTAGCATTTATTTCTGTCATTTAAAAGTTTTATGATTTCAGTGGGGTATCTATGCCGAACCAATTTTCTCGGAACAAGGTGGCTTTCCAAAGGAACTCTCTGAAATCGTGGAGAGGAACAGTAAGGAGCAGGGCTACCCTAGATCTCGTATGCCAGAATTTACCGACGAAGAGAGAGATTTAGTTCGAGGCTCCACCGATTTCTTCGGTGTTAATCACTACACAGCTTCCTTGGTATCGGCGAATGAAGAATATAAAGAATGGCACCCAACGCCATCACTTCTTTCTGATGCTGACGTTGGCGGCTATGTTCCCCCGGAGTGGCCTAAATCAGCATCCAAGTGGCTAAAGGTATTTTTAAATTTCAGTATTGTTTAAATACAAGATATTTAATCTATAGCAAAGTATGATCTTTTGTGTAGGTATAACAATTTAAATTCTTGTACATACCGTCCCAGCGGGCCACGGACACATGTATTTCTTTATTTCATAGAATACGTTTAAAGTTGGTAGTGGGTATAAGATGGGTAAATGATTGATCCTTACCTGGCTATTTAAAATACTGTAATTTTTCGCACTTTACAATTAAAAATATTTTTTAGCTTGCACCAAACAGTATTTATAATGTATTAACCCACCTCAAGAGTAAATACAATAATCCCATTTTGTACATCACTGAGAATGGCTGGTCAACAACCCCTGAAAGTGGTCTGGAAGACGAGGACAGAATCACCTATTATAGAGCAGCATTAAATAGTGTTTTGGATGCGTTGGAGGCAGGAGTAAACCTAAAGGGCTACATGGCCTGGAGTCTTATTGATAACTTCGAATGGATGGAAGGATATCTGTAAGTATTTACCGAAACTCGGCCCAAAGACGTTTGTTGTAGGTAATTTTTTTGTCTCAATACAAATATTAAAACTAAGTAATAGATAGTATATAACGAATAGTTACACAGCATTTTTTGAACATCGCACATAAGGTATCAATACTATATCCAGATATTATTCTAAACACTTAAACAAACATAAATTTTAAAACAACGAATACATTGACACGAATTTATTACATTGTTTACACAACTGTAGGTAATTCGATGTTTCAAATGCTTATAACAACAAGCGAGCATCAGTATGGTGACACAGATTATTTTGTAAGCAAATACTAAACATCTTATGGTAGGGGAGCCCAAGAGGGGATTTCGGGATTTACTAAAGCGCGGCAGATTACTATATAGGGGGATACCTTGTACCCGGTTAAGTACCTCCACAAAATATGAGGCCCATATATAAGGCCGCGCGTGAAGGAGACAGGATCAGATTAGTAAAAAAAAAATTGACCATCAGAAATTCCCGAGCGCGTCAGATTAAGGTAGGGTGAGTTAATTACATCCTAAAAAGTGTATATTCCACTAATCTGACAATTTGAGAGTGACGGAAAAAAAGGGGAGGGCAACAAAGTTGTAAAAAAAAACGTCATCTCGACATTCTCGAGCGTAGCTAATTTTTCTTTTATTTTGAAGGAAATAATTCCAGAATAATGAAAAATATATAATCTGACGATTTCCGCAAGCCGAAATAACAAAAATTCGTCGATAAAGTTAAATGCGTGCAGCTGCGTGATGCCTACATTTCCTTAAACCGATCGGAATCTACTAAACGGCGTTCAAAATATTTCCCTCAAAACTACATTTCCTGTGAATTTGAACCGATTCGGACCGATAGATTTTGAGAAATTTTGAAAAATCTTAAAAAAATAAGAAATATTTTTTTTTTTTAAGTGGTTTTCTTTATCGATCAACTTCAAAAACTAATCCGCCTTTGAGCTTGAAAACCACGTCGATCGCCACCAAGCTGGTCAAAAGCGGTTGATTCGTTCGAGAGATATCGTACATGAAAGAAACCCGAAAAGTGTTTTTTCGGGATTACTCGAAATTTGTGGTTCGATCAATTAAAATTGCAAAATTACTTATGAGAATGATAAAACTGCGTCGAATGCCGCCAACCGCGTGAAAATGCTTGATCCATTCAAAAGTTATTGCGGTTTGAATATTCCAAAAATAGTGTTCTATGAAACTTCTATCAGACTTTCGAGCTGGGAGAGCTCAAATGCATAGAAATGTTATTTCTTTGAACTCAGCGAGCTCAAAATATCAATTTTAAGCGCCCAGGAATGGAATTAGCGGGAAGTTGCAGGGATGGCCCTTTAGGTGAACCGTTTTTCTATTTTTTTTTGTCAGATCAGGCGAATCCCTCTAGATAATCGTCAGATTATGAGACAGTACGTTTAGAACATAAAGATGAACCACATATATCTTAATCTGACGCGCTTGAGTATTTCAAAATTGCGATTTTTTTTTGCAAATTAAGAAAATGGCTGTGGGTTTGCGTCCCATCGAAATCGTCAGATTAGTGAATGAGAGATTTTGGTGCACTTAACACTCCCTTAGAAAATCTGACGCGCTCGATAAATTTTTTTTTTTTTAATTTTCAACCCTTAAATACAACCACCCGCATCATGCAAACGATCAGATTAACATACGTAGTACGTACATTATTAAAAATACGTAGGGCATAGATGCTATCAATATCTGACGCGCTCGAGGATGTCCATGCAACAGTTTTTTTTTACATATTTAACTATCTATAGCCGCTTCCCCCACCGATGAAAAGGAATTTATCATATAACATTTTTTTCTTCTTTTTATCTAAGCTTTGTATCCCAATAGGTCTCTACGACGCTCGAGTAAATCCCCATTTAGCATCGTGGGCTCCCCTACCATTAATAAAAAAATATAAACTTACATTACGGTCGCTGTTGTCTTTTGACAGTATTCTTCTTTCGTTGTCAGGTAAATATACAATAACGCGTGACAATAATGACAACACAGTCCATTACAACATGCGACCCACCATTTTCTAACCACACTTAAAATTCAAAATAACATAATTTTTTTTATTTTTAAATTGAAAAACGGTTTGTAATTTTAATTTTCGCATCTTTCAATGTTTCAGAGAACGTTTCGGTCTGTACCAAGTTGACTTTGAGAGTCCAGAGAAGACCCGTACACCAAGAAAATCTGCTTTTATTTACAAAGAAATCATAAGAAGCCGAGTTATTGAGCCTAACTATGAGCCACCCAGCAGAACAATGTGGATTGATGAAGGACACTAATATTAACGAATTAAATTATAATATTTAAACATAAGTTAATTCAAAGAGATAATTTAATAAATGACTAATTACCTATTTAATTTGTTTCTAATTTAAATTCTATATATTTAAACATTTACACATATTGTTTACAATACTGTTTCTGCCCTAAATTATTTGCTATCTGAGCAATATTATACCTATACAATTTCGTGGGTACTTATTGTACTTAAACAAATAATAATACAGAAGTATTAGTAGGAACATAAATCGAGATGAACATAAATAATGAAATCTTTAGAAAAGTAATAAAAAAATATTATGACAACGTATTAAAATTTAAATGTAGCTGGCAACACTGTTCTGAAGTCTTTGCGGAAAGAGAGCTGGATTATTTGTAATGATTATTTTAACAGAGATCATAAGTTGAAAATCAGAACAAAAAAATTGTGCGTGTACTAGGTGAACACACGTAAGAAGTGAAACTTCTTTATGATCTTATTTTTCGAAAAATGATCTACTATATGCAACTTTACAGAAATTCGTTAAATTAGACAAAGTTTAACAAAAGGCTTTTATTATCATAGACATGAATACAAATATTTCATTTTACCTTATTACTACGAAGATTATTATAGAATTTCATTAATTTTAATAGAATTATTACTATCATTTAAAAACGTGACGATTTGCTACAAAATTTCTCCCATACGTCGATAAAGAAGTTTCATTCCAACGTAGATAAAGAAGTTTGACTTCAAAAAGCAACATGGCGCGTAACCGAAAAATGTGACGCGTAACGAAAAAATGTTACACTAAATTTTTTTCCAACCTCGATAAAGAAGTTTCATTTCAATAAATGAAATGACGCGTAGAATATAAGAATTATAGTAATTCGCAAAATCGGCACACTGGCACAGACTCTAACAACACATTAGTATATCTACTTATCCTGTGCTACCAACACAAAATTTAAAACCTCTACATGATCTATGAGTTATGACACTCAATTCAAATGCCGATGGCTACGGGTTGTGACTTGTGTACTTACTACTTATGACTGTGTCAAGACTTCGTGAAAATTGAGAATATCGATAATTGTATACATTATTTCAATTTTCATTACAATATTCTATAAAGCAAAATTAATCTTTTATTATTTCCCTAACTGTGAATACAAAGTAAGTAAAAATGCATGCGAGGCGAAGAGGACCGAATTTTACGTATGTCAGTGGATGTGTAAAATACATGATTTTTGTATTAAACTTTATATTTTGGGTAAGTTCCTAATAGTTCTTTTAAATTAAAACTGTTAAGGTGCTTAATACGAATAACGATTTCTAAAAATATCTCTTAATTAACGTATGAATTGCAATCCATTGTTCTCAGATCTCGTGTGATTCATTCATTCGATTTGTATGTGCGATTGTATACATGTTATGTTTAGAGAGAACGACGAAGGATGTGACTAAACATAATAATAATTGGTTCCGTTGTCAGTTGTTGGAACTAATTTGAATTAACTTTTAATCAATTTAATGCATTTTTTTATATTTTGATGTGATTTTTTAACATGGTATATCGCGATGAGATCATCAGCTTTATATGTGTTTTGCTGATGAGGTTCATTGTAACGAAATTATGTAAAATAAGATAAAACTCAGTATAAGGTCAATATTTTTTTGGCATAAACATTCAACATGTTTATGAAAACTATATTTTTATAAATATAACTCTGCCCGTTAATCACTACTTCGACAATTCACAAACTTGTACAAATTTATATTTATTCCCATTGACAACATTTACAATATTTCAGCTTTTAGGAGGTTTAGTAGTTTCTGTTGGACTCTATGCATTTATAGATAAGTGGCAGGCAACTGGACTCATAAAGGTAAAATTAACCTTTTTAATAGGTCAACTGATAGCTTGACTTTTTACTGATATTGATCAGTATTCTATGTCCCTAATTATAATAAATAAAGAAATCATTCCATAGGGAAGGTACATTTATTTCCATAATGAGTAACTGAAAACATCGGCAATGGGAAAAATTATTTTAAAGAATTTAAACTAAAGAGTATAGGGACAAAAAGTTAAAAAATTGTGTTTCTTTAAACAATATTGTTTATTATTTGAATACTATCACTAACCGTACATATATATTAATTTCAGTTGGACACTCTATATGACTTAATATTAAATATTAGTCTCTTGATTGCGTTGATGGGAGGTGTGGTGTTTATTGTCAGTTTTGCTGGCTGCATTGGAGCTTTGAGAGAAAATACCTGCTTGCTAAAGTTTGTAAGTTAAAACTATAATTATTGTTCAATCTGACTCATTCAGGTGGACTATAAGTGACATTATTTTTAATTGGTAAACTGGGTTTTAATTCACTTATAATACATTATTGAGAGGTTCAAAGTCAGGAGATAGTTGAAAAGAGTTTTCCGATTTATTTTATGACACTAAGAAAAATAAAACTGACACAAGGTACTGTAAAGTAGACAAAAACATATTGTGTATAAATTCTAGACTAGAAAAAAATAAGGTTTAATAATAATAAATTGCTGAGTGGAAACAAGTACACCTCATGTTTCTGAGAATTTGAAGTAGGAAGACACTATATTGATATTGTTTAATGGCGACCTACCTTCACATTATAATCAAAAATTAATTATATTATTTCAGTTATTCCTTTATTAAAATAATAATTTTATAAATTCCAGTACTCCCTTTGCCTACTGATACTATTCCTAGTGGAAATGGGAGGGGCAGTGTGTGGCTTTGTGTTTCCAAGATCCCTTCATGGCTTTATCGAGCAAAGCTTCACAGAGAGAGTTGTGCACTCATATAGAGAGGACCCTGATTTGCAGAATTTCATAGATTTTGCACAGAGTGATGTAAGTATTTTAAAGTAAACTTAAAATTTCTGTGGTTTTTACCCAATCAAAATGTCACCATACAAAATATGAACAATTGTTTTGAATTACAGAAACCAGTTAACCATATCAGTTGTGCTAAATACAGTTATTTATAAATTGTAGTACTGCCCATAACTATGAGTATCTTGTATTTATTTGTTTTTTATTATCATTTAAAAATATCCAGCAATATTCCTAGCTGACATTAAATAGTATTAGATTAAGTTATTTTATAATTAATGTGTATAAAATTATTAGTTTCATTGCTGCGGTCTCACATCAGATGGTTACATGGACTGGTCAAAGAATGAATACTTCAACTGTACTTCCCCATCTGTAGAAAAATGTGGAGTTCCTTACTCATGCTGTATCAACCCTACGGATATAAGTTCAGGACTAGTGAACATTATGTGTGGGTATGGGGTTCAAAACTATCCGGTAAGCACAATTATTTAATGAAGAACAAATTTAAATAAAAAATTCATGTGTACATATAATAAATTTTTCGCACAACGGACCAATTATGTGTCTAAGTGCGGAACCTGAGTCCACCAACCTTAACCTTAACATTTAATAAACTTTTCAAAGAACAATAATTGTGGGTAATTAGACAAAAGTTTTGATATTTGTCTGTCAACCTATATCCAATTCTGTTATTGGATGGCATTATGGTATTTATAAATAGGCTTCGTTTAACATATAAATGTTTGGGCTTAATATAGAAAATCATTTAATGAATTTATATATAAATCTTCTGTACAGATTCGATACCAATCTTCGATATCAGTCTTTATAGTACGGGAGGTAGCAACTTTTGAAAAGAAAGAATTTTAGGTCAGCTGATTTTGTGATATGTCTTCCTTCTTGCACTTTCGGTTAGAGTCTGGGCAATCTGGCTGGCGGTAGCGGTTGCGTTCATTAGTGCGCATCCTATCTGTCCGGTAATAATCCTGGATTTTAAAAGCATTTTAAGAAGCGTAATTTTTAATTTTTCGTTTTCAAATAAGTCTACCTGACATACTTTTTTTATTGCCAGACATTTTTCACATTGCTAACTACGTGCCAGACGCGATTCTAAGTTTTTTTTTATAAAAATTTCAAAGTACATATTTTTAGAATGTCTGTAATTTTATATTATGTTCTTTAAATATAAGAAAAACTAAAAATGAATTTGCCAGACATTAATTCGAGTGTTAAGTCTTGAATTAAAATGAAAAAGTCATGAAAAGTATGGCAGTATGCCTTTCATTGGTATTAAAACATTTACGTAAGTTTTAATAAATGTTATTCGACAACAATCGAATTAATGTCTGGCAAATTCATTTTTAGTTTTTCTTATATTTAAAGAACATAATATAAAATTACAGACATTCTAAAATATGTACTTTGAAATTTTTATAAAAAAAAAACTTAGAATCGCGTCTGGCACGTAGTTAGCAATGTGAAAAATGTCTGGCAATAAAAAAAGTATGTCAGGTAGACTTATTTAAAAACGAAAAATTAAAAATTACGCTTCTTAAAATGCTTTTAAAATCCAGGATATTACCTGGACAGATAATAATAATAATTTATTTATTGCAAGAATATGGTACAAATGTTAAGGTGATACAATCATAAATCGTTCGCATATTCTGCCACACACGATGGCGCGCAAATTCGTCCCAAAGAATTTTACAATATTATTCAAAGCCAATTCCTATATTATCCAGCCTATTATATTATATACATTTCATCATTAACTTTATATCATTTACGGTGTTTCATGCAAATAATCATTTATTGAATAGTAAACTTTATCCAAAAGCAATTCACTAAGTCGCTTTTTAAAGAATCTAGACGGAAGATCTTTTAATTCTTTTGGTAATTTATTGTAGACTTTAATTGCCATATAAAAGCTGTTTTTCCGAAACAGTTCCAGATTGAATTTTGGCACAGCCAAATTCTTCCCATGTCTACTTCTACTTCAACTTCTACATTAGGATGCGCACTAAAGAACGCAACCGCTACCGCCAGCCAGATTGCCAAGACTCTAACCGAAAGTGCAAGAAGGAAGACATATCACAAAATCAGCTGACCTAAAATTCTTTCTCGAAAACGTTGCTACCTCCCGTACTATTAGAACACTTTAATTCCATGCAGTCTTAAGCACTAATTCCATATTTATAAAGAAATGTTGACATATATTTGAAGTAGACAATAAAGTTGCTGTATATATTCTTAGAGTAAGATTAAAAGTCCAGATGGAGCCTGACTGACTTCCTTATGTCAAAATCCAATCTAAGTTTAAGGGCTAGAATTTAATGTTTTCAAGAGATTTTATTATATAAAATAATCCTAACATATTACAAAACAAAGGCGCTTTTCGCAGCTTAGATGAATGCATACATTCCTGTAGAACAAAGTTGTTAGGACAATTGATTTTTTTATTATTGCATATTTAGCTAATCTAAAATATCTTGTTTATTTTGTATTGAAAATCCACACTCATGTTATCTTATATACCTTTGAATTTTTATAACATTGACCCATTAAGCTATTTAAACCTAAAGTAAAGAAAATATGTTCTATTAATTGTATATCTAATGCTTATAGTGGTTTTCGTTTTCGGTATATTTACATCTATATGAGTTTATATACACGACTTGACTACTAATTATCACTTAATTTACCACAAATTATATTGATAAGATATCTCTTACTGTACACATCCGTCCGGTAGTTTTTATATTAGGTCCTTACATATGAAATTGGCGTATTTCGTACTGGCCACTTTAATCACGATGTTCTCCTCTTTGGTAAGGAATTCCAAATTCAAATTTGTACAGCTTTTTACTCATGTATTTGTGCTTCGATGACCGTCATTCATTTGTTTTTTTCCTTCTGTTTTTTTCTGTTTGCGTCACTCATTTTACAAAATGGAAAACTTAAAGTATCGCATTACTTACGAGTACGAGTTCCGCCGTGGCACCAGTGCTGCGGAAACGACTCGAAGGGTGAATGATGTGTATAGCGGTCATGTTGCAAAAGAAAACACAGTTCGTTTTTGGTTCCAACGTTTTCGTTCTGGAAATTTCGACATGCAGAACAAGCCCCGTGGACGGCCTGAGACCCAAGTTGATAATGAAGTATTGAAGGCTATTGTGGGAGCGGATCCATCGCAAACCACGTCCGAGTTAGCTGCAGGCTGCGGTGTTAGTGATAAAACTGTTTTAATTCACTTGAAGCAAATTGGGAAGATTCAAAAGCTTGAAAGATGGGTACCTCACGAATTGACTGAAGCAAACCGGCAAACGCGCGTCGACTGCTGTGTTACATTACTGAACCGGCACAATAATGAAGGTATTTTAAACCGAATCATTACCTGTGATGAAAAATGGATTCTTTACGATAATCGAAAGCGCTCAGCGCAATGGTTGGATCGTGGCCAGCCAGCCAAATCCTGCTCCAAGCGATAATTAACCCCAAAAAAGTTACTTGTAAGCGTTTGGTGGACTAGTGCCGGTATTGTTCATTGCAGTTTTCTCAAATCTGGCCAGACTATTACGGTTGATGTCTATTGTCAGCAATTGCAAACCATGATGGAAAAGCTAGCGGCTAAACAACTGAGGCTGGTCAATCGCTCCACGCCACTGCTACTTCACGACAACGCTAGACCACACACTGCACAACAGACGGCTACCAAATTAGAAGAACTTCAATTGGAATGTCTAAGACATCCTCCGTACTCCTGGACCTTGCTCCTACAGATTACCATTTTTTTCGAAATTTGAACAACTTCTTGCAATGGAAAAAATTTAACTCTGATGGGGCAGTCCAAATCGCCTTCACAGATTTTATTGATTCCCGTCCGACCGTTTTTTTTAGTAAACGGATCAATGAACTACCTATGAGATGGCAAAAGTGCATAGAAAACAATGGTTCATACTTTGATTAATTAAATATATTATATTTAAAAATATTCGACTTTTTGTTCCTCAAATACAAAACGCCAATTTCATATGTAAGGACCTAATATTTATCTTACAGACAATTGTAAACTCTTTTGTTTCGTCGTTAGTTCATTCCTATGCTATCTAGTAATTAAATCTGTCTGTAATCTTCATTTTATTACTGTTTTAAGCTTGTTTGGCCGTTAAATGTATTTTTATGCATATTTTTATATATATTAATATATATATAAAATATATATATATATATTAATATACTTGTTTAGTTAGTCATGTTTTGAATTTTAAATTATAATCTCGTAATAAAGCTATGAAGTGAAATGTCTCGACAAGTTTATAATAATTATAATTAAAAGTTACATTTAATATTAGAAATAAAAACACTTTAATAATTTTACGTGATACAATAAAAAAATTAACATCTTAATAATATTTCCTTTTATTTAATTTTATCTCATAAAATTTCAGGTGGCAGAAGCGAGCAAGCGTGTATGGACAAGTGGGTGTATCGAAATCGTTCGTCTATGGGGCGAACGGCATCTCTACACTATAGCTTCCGTAGCCCTTGGGGTAGCATTATCACAACTATTTGTTATATACCTCGCTAAGACCCTTGAGGGACAGATTGAGTTGCAAAAAGCCAGGTACAGGTATAAATATTTATCCTATTTTAATAATGGCTAAACTATCTCAAGTTTTAACCTGTAGTTGAGGAATTCAAATATGTGAAACTACTAATGAAATTCTTTGACACCTCTTTGAAATTTAATTTTTAGTGACAGTCAAATGACTGGGGTTATATTAACAAATTATCTTCATCCATGGTTCTTGTCCGAATCTAGTGCGAAAAATAACACAGTAATTGTTACTTAATTACAGATGGCAAACATGAAACCGGGGCTCGGCAGGCGCGTACAGGGATGAGTGTAGACGCGCGCTGCTGTAGCGACCGGAATCGAACCCGGAGCCTGCCATTCACATCTAGTGCCATATGGATCCGGTGTTAAGTGTTAAAGTGTGAACAAAGTGTAAAGTGAACAGTGACTTAGTGAAAAGGTGACATCTTGAAAAGGTAAGGAAATGATATGGTCACAATGACACCAAATTTATATGGGCCACATGTAACATCTACTAAAGTAACTAAATATATATATACTCCTTCAGTGTACTAAAACAATTATCAGGCCTGATAGAAAATTTAGTCTAAAAAGTTGTTGTTGTTATGAAACAATTGTTTCTTATCTACGATTGATGTAGAAGAACACAAACAAAACAAGGCAACGAGAACTGTGCAATGTGCCAAGCTGGATACAAAAAGCAATATGAGTTTACCTGTGCAATTACATGTATCAAAATTAACTGGTTTCTGAACTTTAGAAGTACCTCATTTCAAATAAAATCTTTTCACATCTATGTCAATTGTCAATTTTTTTTGCAATGACTTGACTTTTTATTTAAAAATTTCCAGTATAAAATAGTGGCAAGAATTTTGTTGTCTTTCTCAATAATATAATAGGTACCCGTTTCGAAACAAAGTTATCATATATACAATTTTATTTTGTAAGTGGACTTGCTTACCACAAATTATGTTTTCAACAAACAAACAGATGAAAAGAAAAACATTAAGACGTCTGACTTTTAATTAAAAGTAAGTTAGACATCAAACATAATATTTTTTTTACTAATTAATGTTTTCTTCTTTCATTTAGATCTTCAAAATACTTTTAGTTAGAAATCTTCTGCATAGATGGCGTTGTAACCAGTATAATACATTTACAATTATTTAGATTATAAGTATATGATATGCTAATATAACTTTTCGTGCATTTATGGTAGGAATAATATGTAAATATATATGTGTACTGGGAGTAAAATCTCATTTTTAAAAGGGGCTTTTATACTATTGGCCAGTTAAATTTAGTGTGATACTGATGTAGATTTTGTTTTTGAACGGAAAAATATATGAATTTCCTTAGTATTAAGCTATATGTCACTGCCAAGTAAAATAAAAATAACTATTTACGCCCTACCATATAGCAGATACCATAATAATTATTGTCTTATTAAAAATGTTCGAATCTCAGATTGATGGATTCGTATGTAAGGCCATGTCTTATTTTCAACTGGTGCTATTATTAAAAAAAAAAACTAAAATGCTTGATTCTTTAATTAATTTATGCTTGTTTAATCATAGTTGACCAGAAAAGATAGGTGTGTTTAAATTGGTCATAACTTGTGAGTTTGTTTATGAGGGGCCCGGTAAAAATATGTTTAGCCATAATGCCATCAAAAGTTTTACCTGGAATTCAAACACATCATTGTAAAAAAATTATATAATTTGGAAGCTTATGGTATCTGCCCTTTACAATGCTCAGCAATTATGGTATTTCTCATATAGTTCTCGGATATACATATAACTAATAATTGGGGACACAAATATATATAGGCAAGTTTTTACATCGTGTTACAAGTTTTCACTTACTGAGAAAATTATGTCTTACTTAGATGTTCTCTCGTGCCTAATCTGTTGAAAAATTATTATAAAAAAAAACTCAGTAATGTGGAGAAGCCGAAAGTATTGAGTAGTTAGTATGAATAATAATTATTAAATATTATTTGAATATTTATTAGAGTAACTTATTTATATATTGTGGGTAGACAAAAAATGGGTCGAAATTGTTTTATTATTATCTGATAGCCACATTCCAATATTAATTTGTTATTAATTAAAAAATTGTTTTTCTACATTTTTAATATTTTCTTGCTTTAAGCCGAATATTGTGTGTTGCTCAATATAAAAGACCAAATGTATGTGATTGTCTATTAACCAAAATTAGTGTAAGTTTGTGCTTTGTAGGTACAATATTTCATAACTAGAATACGCACATTTTCGCTAACATCCAATTAAAACATGTATTAATATAACAATTCTGTAATACAAAATCAATTGTCATTGACTTTTAACACATGTTTTAATTTGATTTTGTTTTTTTAATGTTAAGGTACACAGTTTAATTGAAATCTAATTAATTTTTGAGAAATTAATAGTTTTAATATCATTTAAAGTTTATATAGGTTAGACTTATTTGTAATTTATGAAGTAGTGTCTGCAGGTAGCAGTAAAAAAAAAATTCATTTAAAAACCTATTTGTTTCACGTTAGTTGGCTTCAGTTAGATGCGTAGGCGCCGTTTTGCATTTTGATAATACTTTTCAAACCAGAATATGGCAAGTGACGTGCGGATACCAGTATGTATTAAATATAATAAAATGACTTTGTAGTAAGGTGTTCAATTTGTGTAGCTTGCAACTGTCTACTGTAGTATAAACTCAAAAATATTCTTCTACATTGTATATGCTGTCTATAGAATAAATACCATTATTCCAAAAATTCGTTTAATTATAAACTACCGTTTTCAGATGAAAAAAAATAGAGTTCAATAGATAATGTCTTAGTCCCAAACATCGACAGGCACAAGGTCAAAGTCCAATGTCAAAATAACCTTATTCATATAGGGAAACAAGTAAACTTATGAATGTCAGAAAATACACATTCGTAGTTACATTCATTCGAAATTTACATTTACTACCAGTTCGCATGTCAAGGGCGTAGAGCGTACAAGAAGAACTGGCAAGAAACTTTCCGCAAGTAATCGCTAAGTTTTGAGCCATACAAATTGTTGAACTGGAGCCAATAAAGCTTTGGTGACCCTTAGTAATTCATGACATCAATGCAAACCCACCAAGCGCTAAATGTCCGACAGGGACAGGTCAAGTCTGTAAAGAATTTGTGATTGACAGGGAGTTTCTTATTACATTAAAAAGCGAGAAAATCATTAGGATATTTATGTTTATAAACAATAAGAAGGTTTTATTGTAATCTTTAGTATTCATACATTTACCATACTAGAGAAACCATATTTTTTTTCTATTTCTTCCCCTTTCCTTTCTTGCCTTTTGGCTCGGGTTCTGGCTCTGGTTCAGGCTCTGGCGGTGGTGGTGGCCAGTACTTATCAAAGAATGCGTCATCGGCCGCAAACTGCAATGGCAGAATATGCTGTCGGCGGTGCCAGTTCTCTCTATCAATCTCTTCCTGTTCATCCTGAAGTTTTTCATCTCTAGCTCTGAGCTGGAAAAGATATTCTTTTATAATTATTTTATATTAATGTGTTTGAAAGGTATTATATAATTCCTGCTAAAATCAATTTGCAAACAAATTGGATGTTGGAAAGTTTTTGTAACTACCCGCCATATTTATACCTCGAGCAATGCTAAATATTCCTCAGTATCCACTTCCTTTTTCTTTCCCTTCTGCGGTTTTACATCCTTCTTAGGCTTATCCTTCTTAGGTTTTATTTTGAGAGGCGCAAACAACCGTTTGGGATTTTGTACTTGATATGGCGTGTCGATTAAATTATATTCAGGACTAAAGGTGAAAATTGAGCGAACTATGTCGTATTGGTAGTCTGTACTGAATCTGAAATAAATTGCAAATGCTAACGTTAAACAATATTTGATTCCACATTTCCATATGTATAATAGTTTTAGTAGTTAAAAATTAGGAAATAATAAGTCTTGTGGTTAATTAAGAATAGTTTTAAAAAAAATAAAAAATAAAAATCATTTAATTCAGATCATTAAAAAATCCATATATTTTAGTAAAGTAATCCTTATAACTATGTTAGTAAATTAAAATTAAATTTACAACTTATTAACAAAGAAAAAACATTTAATTCATATATCTACGTTGATTCGAGGCCCGTACCAGGCATGTTATGAACCCAAGTCTCAAAACGCACATTCGGGTTTACCTATAACCATCAGGATATTGTTAGAACTCGCACGAACCCCAGCATCAGTGAGGCTGTCCGTTTGCGGATGATTGACGAAAAATCATCCACGTTCTCTCAAACATACCTTATGCGCTACATACCCGGGCGCCCCAACAACATCCTAAGCATTATTATATTGCACTCGAGAGCATTGTATGCCCCCCGTATATCTAACCCACAGGGCACATGTATAAAAGGACTGGCAAAACGCCTTGAACAAGGTTACCTGACCTGTGCGTTACAACATAGAACCTCGGCCGCATATTGCAACGACAGCTAATGCTCTTCGTTCCCTTTTAATATCTGCATCGTCATTAAGGTGCTCAGTTACAATATGGCCAAGGTATTTGAACTCAGTAACCCTCTTCAGTGGAACGCCTCCGAGTGTTACTGGTGGCACATAAGTCGGTTTTTCTTTGCTGCCTTAAAGCGAGCAATTCACTTTTTTAACATTATAGCGGAGCCCATGCGATTCCCGAACCTCTCACAGATGGACAACAACCGCCGGAGAGCCAACCGATGGGCTCAACAGCACCATGTCATCTGCGTAACTGATGCTATTCACACAGTGACCATCGATCAAGCAGCCGACACGTGCGCCACCGAGCGCCTCGATCAGCTCATTTATATACAGGTTGAAAAGCGCCGGTGAGGTTAAACCCCCCCTGCCTCACCCCGCATTCCAACCTGTACTCCTCCGACAGTGTGTTTGACCATCTTACCTGATTCGTCTGACGCTCATACCAATGCGAGAACAGTCTGCCTCAACTTACCCCACAACAAGTCACAACAAGTTTTAATACTAGTAATGGCTAAAATAAACAAGCTTAAAACCGCTCTACGAATGGACGTTTATATCTGAGACGAATGGGCTTAGAACACATTTTCTTTACTTGCGTTTCATGTATTTGCTTGAAATATTTTTACAGGCGTATCTGCTAGGTAGGTTTATTTATTATTATATATACCCACACTTATTTGCAGTGTTGGCCTAGTGGCTTCAGAGTGCGACTCTCATCCCTGAGTTCGTAGGTTCGATCCCCAGCTGTACACCAATGGACTTTCTATGTGCGCATTTAACATTCACTCGAACGGTGAAGGAAAACATCATGAAGAAACCGGCTTGCTTTAGACCCAAAAAGATGACGGAGTGTGTCAGGCACAGGAGGCTGATCACCTACTTGCCTATTAGCTTGATAACTGATCATGAAACAAATACTGAAATCTAAGACCCGGATCTAAAGTGGTTGTGGCGCCACTGATTCACCTACACTTATTTAGATTTATATCACTTAACATAACCAGAACATAATCAACTTTGTACGCAGGACTAATAACAAAGATTCGTGAGGAAATAACAACAACACCCCCAGTATACTAACAAGTCATAAATATAATGCATAATGTTTATCAGATCGCGCAGTGAACATTCATAGGCTGCATTCTCAAACGTGACCAGATGCCGTGACTGTCGGGAAGTCACCGATGTGTCAACGCTCACTTCTTCCAAGGGCTTATAGAAAACCCCAGCCTCCAGCGGGGTTGGGAGGTGTTCCTCATCTCCAATAAACCTGGCTGCTGATAGCATGTTGTGCTGGAGGAAAAAAAATTGCACGACTAGATATCATAGCAAAATTGAGTGGAGCTGCAAAATATCTTGACAAAACATCCGGAAGGGGACCCGATTTTTAACATTGGCAATGGATAAGAAGAATTTTTTGATGGTTTGGTCTTCTGGAACTAAAAAGGTGCCTATTTTAATAAAAAGCCTAACCTTAGGTTGAATTAAATTATAACGAAACAGCATCGATATTCATAGTTTTAAATGTTTACAATGAAATTAAAGTATATCAAAAGTAAAATAAAAAAAATAAACTACTTAATGTTAAAAATAATATAACATATAGTGTACTTATCATCCAAAACGAAACGATTGTTTTTTCGCTGCTTAAACCGGTAATTAAATTTAGATGTTTCTAGAAAAAGTTTTTAGTCCCACCTGGAAGCGTTTTAACATTCGCTGGCGATCGGCTGCATCGAAATGCTGTATCTCTTTCATCCATTCGCAGAACCAAAGGATAAGGATCGCTTGAGATGCTGTAACAAAGGTAAATCGTTGAATTAAATATTTTGGTTGAACGCGCTATACAACATCAAGCCACAACCGATTTAACGCGGCTGAAACCGGTTAGCTTGTGATTGAAACTCACTTCGGGTAACTAAAACAAATATTAAAGTTTTCTTTTTATTCTACTATAATAGTAGATATTACACCGGATTAACACGTTTATCCAAATGAACAACATTTAAAAGCAAGATTAAGATATCTTAATTTCCACTAGTCGTAGTAAATTCAGATTTCAAAATATTCCATCCTTTGAAATTATAGCCCCGAATTCTATAGGTAATATTAAAATTCTTACGTCTGTCCATTTCATCATCCTGAGCGCGCCGGAGCAGGTTAGCCAAAGTGTCCAGAAACCAGAATTCAGCCAGACTCTTCTTGTATTGCACGCAGCCTGTTAATTCACCTGGAATATTCAGCAAATATCCTGTTATCGTTATTAATAAAGTACCTATACTAACCGAAAGAGTGACGCCAATGATCGAGACCAGTGGCAGATTACTGTGGAAGTTGCTAAGACCCATAAAGGGATAACCCTTTTAGCATTATTTTAGCATAAGCTTCACTGGATATGGTCTTAACTCTCTTAAAGCAGTTTCACCTTAATGCATAATTTTAAGCATGATAACAGATTTAAGGGTCTAGGTGAGGAGTATTTTAGAGGAGAATAAAGGGGTCCCTCTTAAAGAAATAGTAAAGTTAAAATTTCAAAAGAAATTCAATATTATAATAAGATAGTACCTTAGGCCATGTACTCTGATATACTCACCTAGTATATCAATATATTTTTGTTGCGGCGTGGTAGCTATTTTCGGGATGAGAGTCGAGTCAAAGTCAGTTTTGAACTCTTCTGGAAGCACATGGATTCTGTTTTGCTCTTCAATCTAGAAACAGTAACATTCAGGGATTCAGCGTATTTGATTATACAGTAATACAACTAAAAGTTGACTAAGCACGAAATTTTCGTTCTCTGAAAAGCATCTGCAGATTGTTACAAGACATGTCCAGTTGTCACCAACATGTCACATGATTCTCATATTCAAGTCCACGGCACCTCTTTGTGGTGGAGGGTTCTGTGTGACTCGCTACTGAGCATATCCACTAAAACCCTCGGCGCCACCAGCAATCGCCCTAGGCAGGACATGGTAACAGCGAAGCCAAGGACAAGGCTATGCGGACAATCGCATAACGTCCATGAATGGACCATCTTACCCATGTTTTTAATACTAAAATACAAGGTCAGATTGGTAAAAGGCCGGCAACACACTCGCGAGTCCTCTAGCATTGAGAGTGCCCATGGTCGGCGGTATCACTTAACATCAGGTGAGCCTCTTGCCCTTTTGCCTCCTATTCAATAAAAAAAAGATCTTAAAATATACCTTACGCAGTCGATCAGGTAAAACCCTTCTTAGTGAGGGTGTGGGGAAAATCTCTGGCAGTTCTTCAATTACTTCCTCTTCCACCTGGCTCTTGATGTCAGCTATTAAGTCGGGTTCCACTACTAACTCTTGTTCTTCTTCTACTTTGCCTGGAAGGTATTGGTTTTGATATCTTTGAGTAAAGTTACTATTATATGACATGTCCATAGTTTATTGTTATCTATTCAGCGTTTATTTTGAATCTAAAACTTCTATATTGATAATTATTATGGCTACCTCTTCAGCTCCTGTTAAAATATCTCTAAAGTCTTTTTATGTATGGAGCTGGGTCATGGGGACTCATTTCTGCTTCACTTTCTTCAGGCAAGTACTATTTTGTGTTAATGTTGGTGGTGTACAGAACTTGACTATTATTGATCTAACATGACATGTCTTCGGTCAAGAATGATTTTGTTTTAGGAGACAATTCAGCTTCCTTGCGATGTTTTCCTCATAGGACAAGCAAGCTATGTGAATTTTTCCACAAAAATTGCTCTATTTTAAGCCAGAATGCGAAGAAATATCACAGATATTTAATTTTTATGATTTTTTTCGAAAACTATTAATTTTTCTAAAAAAAAAATTTAGGATTCTACTTATATAAGTAAAACACGGTAAAATATATGTTTTAAGAACATACCCAGTTCCTCGGCCTCTCCAGATTCAGAAGACGATTCTTCAGACTCAATAGCAGACCGCAGACATTCCAGCCCGGAGTCGGAGAACAGCTGGTTCAGTTTCTCTATATGACTATCTTCCGTTCTTCTAGATGACATTTTACTTTAACAATTACAGTCTACAAAAATAAAGAAATAAGATATGCGCTATAATTATTTCATCCGACCAATTCTTTTTTATAATAGTATCACTTAACGACACCAAAATATATGTAAATTTGTGTGTCAAATTCAAATCACGTCACTTATTTTGATAGACAAAGTATTAGAAATAGTATCTAAGTCATATAAATTTATATTGATAGCTTAGTAATCATTTGTTTGATCGTACAAATGACTCGTAGGTATATTGTATAGTTTTAGAAACAAAAATTGATTAAATCTTTAGAAAGTGTATTTTTCCTTTGATACAGTGAAAGTACAGATACGGATATTTTATTCTGTTTAGGCACGGATTGTGGGTTGATTTAGTATTCACTAAATAATCGAATGATCGATTTTCGCGGCGAATAAAGCTGCTTACATCTGGTAATAACGCAAAGGGTGTGGATTTCAACCGTTTTTTAAAATAGCCGAAAACTCCAGACAAAAGTTGAGTGCTATTGAATTACTCCCCACCGAAAGGGCTTTAACGCACAGTGCACATATATCATAGACCTAGAATAGGCGTGCTATTCACGTATGTTTACCTCTACTCGATATCATACCGACGATAACGTTTCGAAAGCAAAACGTTAGTGTGGTTCGGTTGCTAGGTATAACAGCTACTTTGTCTAAGATTGTGCAGGAGGAACCAATAGATTAAGTATTTTCTGAGTAAATAGGGTAATTCAAGACCGTACCGATACTTAAAAGGGTGGCAACGCACTACCGAGCCATCTGGCAGTGTGAGTCTCCATGGGTGGCGGTATCACTCAAGTAAGCCTTGTGCTCTTTTGCCCCTTTCTATAAAAAAAAATAGACATAAAAATATTGAACCACTGACGTTTTATGGGTTTTCACACACAGCAACTTTTCACTTTTCAACTATTGTTTGAATACTACCCAATATTGACTATTGTTGCACTCATTATGAATCTTATATTATTAAATTGACAAATTTGCATACAATCTTTAATATAGCAATTGCTTAAAAATACGAGTATTATATGCTTATAATAGTTGTTGCTATGTTTTATAATTGGCTAACAAAAAGATCATATTTTTGTGAATAAGGCTGTGCTTGCCTTAACCGAAAAGTTCCCCTAAATTAATAATACCTTAAGGACTTATGACATGGGATTGGTACAAGTCACTGCCAAGCTTTAAAATTACATGAAAGCAAAAAAGTAATGCATTGAAAATTATAAGAAGTGAACAAAAAGGTTCATCGGTAAATTATTTAAAAATAAATCGGTGGCGCTACAATTTTTTTCTAGGTCTGTGCCTCAGATTTCTGTCTCTGTTTCATGATCATCAATTTAATAGGCAAGTAGGTGATCAGCCTCCTGTACCTGACACACGCCATCGACACGTTGGCAAGCCGGTTTCCTCACGATGTTATTCTTCACAGTTCGAGGAAATGTTAAATGCGCTCATAGAAAGAAATTCCATTGGTTCACAGCCGGAGATCGATCCTACGACCTCAGGGATGAGAGTTGCACGCTGAAGCCACTAGGCCAACACTGCTCTTCTACTCAGTAAATAATTTATTTATTTATAAAAGCTTTCCAACGCTCGGCACACTGATATATTGGTACAAGAAAAATAGAATACAATATGTAATGTGACAAGCACTTATTGGCAAACATAACATACAAGAAGAGATAAAAAAACTAAACCGAAAAATTGAATAATATAAACTGAAGGGAAATCGATTTCAAAGTGTGGGGTGAGCAACTATGGATATCCAGACATAGCTCGTTTATCAGAATAATCAATCTGGATATCAGTGAGTTTTGGCCAAAACCCGTTCTTCTGAAAGGAGGGACAAATGGGATAATGGGATGCCTGGGGTAGAGGGTACACGAAATTTAAATTTAGTTCAAAAGTTGAGGCAATAAATGCAAACGATATATCAATATATTTTTTACGATTCTCCATAGACAACATCTTAAAGTGCGTAAACTGGTTTCGTATGTTGGCAACTCTTTTTTCGAGATCATCAACCACTACAAAGATACATCTATAGCTGATTGAGCTTGTAATTTTTTAAGTTTTACTATTAGTGAATACGCTAAAATATTTTATTGATAACACCCCAGCAACGTAATGGCGAGCCTTCTGGCTCTGAGTTGTCTATGGGCAGTGGTATCTCTTAACATCAAGTGAGGTTCTTGCCGCCAAAATCTTACAGCGCCCCCAGTGATTACCAAAAGAATTGTATCGACAGATAGTCCTAATGTTGACAGCACTTTAAAAAATAAAGAAACATACGTAGACATGTCGGCGTTTATTTGTGGAACGATTTCTAATTGGTAATTGAATCCGGCGAAGAAATAATTGTTTCGGTAGTCATAAAGACCGATCGTCTATCTATAAATATTATGTAAAACAGAATTTTTACCAATTACGCAAATTGTGTAACTTTAATCGCGATTCTATTTTTTTAATTAAAACATTTCGCAGTACGTACAAAAAACCCATTGGTGCTAAACATATACATACGTAGTTGATCTTACAGCTCATCAGCCTTCTGTGCCTGAGTCTAAGGCATGCCAGTTTCCGTACGATGATTTCCTTCACGATACGATGTTAAATGCATAAAAAGTCCATTGGTGCACAGTTGGGGATAAAACCTACCAACTCAGGGATGAAAGTCGCACGTTGAAGAGCCAACGCTTCTCGCAGTTCGTACAAGAGTTCACAATTTATATGCGCAAAGCAATTCGGATGTCGTCATCCTGCACAGTTTCCTGGCACGAGTAAATCCGCGTTTGTAAACTAGTTATGTCAAAGTAATCCATTACATTAGACGTTTCCCAAAAAAACATAATTTTAATTTTTAAAAGGAAAGGTATATTAATTAAGCAATCATTGAACATGAGATGTTGTTTACATAAATGTACCTACCTTTTTGTAATTCTTTAGAGAAGTAACTATTTAAAATTATACTGTTATATATATATACTAAATAACTATCTATATGAGTTTTTGGGAATAAAAGGAGTACTTAGTAGAATTGCTAATGAATGATTATTTTATTACAAAAAACACATATTTGAGTCATTCTTACAGTTAATACTTGAACCTCCTCGGTGTCGGTTCTATTAATAATTCTTCGAAACAATAATTCTTTCTGCGGGTATCAAACCCGTCCTGGCTTTCTACCTTACGCCAATTATTTACCACTAAGCCACCGCTCCTATAAATTTTACAAAGCCGATTAATCCAGAGATAAAATTCCATTGGGCGTTATTCTAACTTTAATAGTACACCAATCACAGGGCGTTAGAACCAAAAAATAATAGACCCCACACTTTTCTAACACCACACATTTAGGTATTTGAAAAAGATTAGTTTGCCCGTTCATTGTAAAACAGACTTTGTGTGTATGGTGCAAAGTTGATTTTGATTTGATATTTACTTAATAGTGCACCAGCCGTGTTTGGGAATTCATTAAAAAAATCACAATTAGCGTTTACTAATTGGAGAACCGAAATACGATGGGGCCAAAATAAAGGGGTCTGTTTTGATGAAGCTTAATTTATGAGAATAAGCGATTTTATGATAGCACTAATTGAATTAATATTTGATTTGAGTGTGTTTTGTTTATATGCGAAGAATTAGTGTCAAATTTTGTGAAGTGAAGGAAACTTAGAGGGTGTACATTCAGCCTTTAAAAATATATTTAACACTCCTATACCTTATTAAATATTTATTTATTATCAGAGACAGACACATAATTTACAATTTTACTTATAAACCTAAAGTTAGTCTAAACTTGACACAAAAAGCTTTAATTGCAAGTGTGTGTCACACACAAAATTTAACAAAGGTAAGGTTCAATATTGAATTTAACCACCTCGATACAAAAATGAACAAATATTTTCTCAAGTAGAATTTGCGATAAAAGTCATACATTGTCTAGTAGCCTATCAAGCGAAATTCGCGTACGAAAAAAAGTCTTTTGAAATAATGCACATTTGCACATTTGGTGAAGTCCATTGTTCGAAATATATAGAAAATTTTGCGAGCATTTTCGAATTTGGGACGCATTCATTTCGGTACATAGCTAAAAACTATTTCGGCGAATGGTGATGACTGATAGCCATCAAAGGAATATTTTTTCATATAAACGTGTACTGTCTGCGACTAAAATGCTTGCTATGGAAGCTATTCTTATTACTAAAATTTTTTAAACTAAAAAGCCATTTTAAACAAATAATTTCTTAAAGGATTTGGGATACTTAAATTTACACTTTTAAGAGTTTAATCGCATTTATAGAGATCATAATAATAATAATCAGTGGTGCTACAACCTCTTTAGGTCTGGGCCACAGATTTCTGAATCTGTTTCGTGATCATTTTTTCAGTTTAATACGCAAGTAGGAGATCAGCCTCCAGTGCCTGACACACACCGTCGATTTTTTGAGTCTAAGACATGTCGGTTTCCTTCACCGTTCGAGCTAATGTTATGTGTAAAGTCCATTGGTGCACAGCCGGGGATCGAACCTACGACCTCAGGGATGAGAGTCGCACGCTGAAGCCACTAGGCCAACACTGCTCAAGAGATATATTTAGATTAGATTATAGAGATCATAAGTTTGATCTTGTTACAATATTTTGATGTTAATTTTTACTTTAAATTGTGAATACCGTTTTAGTATATTATCTATGGTTTAAATTAAAATAATGTCTGTTCTTGAATATCGAATTCATTCGATTATTTTTCCAGAATCAAAACGTTGCTAGCTTTGTATAGAACTACTGAGGCGTTCCTTTAATCATTTTTGATACGGAATGGTTTTACAGTCACAGATTAAGTAGAAACTTTCTGAAAATTGCGTCCATCGCGAACTAGTTGCGTCGTGTGTTCTGGGTCAGGATGAAGCCGCTACATGGATTACAATTGATCATGTCGCAGACTAGAGTTACTATAACTAACTATAACACTTTTT